AAGCACTTAAAAATGGAATATAATTCAGGGACTAACCTGCAATTGCTTCAATTTCTGTATGGACAAGTCCCGCAGCTCTGCCGGCAGGTTAAGTTGTATCTGGGCCAGATCATAGCGCTCCTTCCACTCCTGCGCCTCCTGCTTGGCCTTGTCGCGATGCAGCTCGGCGATCTTCAGTTTGCAAGCCATGTCCTCGTAGCGTCCGTTCAACTTGTGGAGCTGAGCATTCTTCGTGAGCAGCTCGTTGGTGATGCGGCCGAGGTCGCTGTTGTTTTGCGACTGCAGCGATTGTAGACTGAACGCATTCTTGGCCGTATTCAGAGTGTTCTCAAACAGACTATTTCCCACTGAGCTGCTGTTGATGTCGTCGCGTATGGTGTTCAATTCAGATATCCTAACCGAAGGACTGATCGACAAGCCATCGCCAAATCCGGGCGATATGATGCGCGACGGAAAGAAGAGACTGCTCTCGTTCTGGGTGGCCGAAAGTGAATTGCTGAGCTTGTTGGAACCGCCATAGTTGAAGGCGTCCACATTGAAGAGATTGGCATGGTTGGTGGGACTGTAGGTGAGCGAGCTGCTGGGAATGTTGACGGCGAAGCCACCTGAGTTGAAATCTATGCAAATGGAATTAGTATTGGCATTAGCAATTAGTTGGGAAACGTGGCTGGTTGAGGACTTACCGTTAATTGAGTTACTTAGAGTCGTATTAGGAATGTTAATTGGCGCCGAGGAACGTGTTAATAAGCTAGTATTGGCCAGACTCGCCGACAGTGAGTTCTCGCGCGGATCGTCCAGTGAGCAAGCTGCTTGCAAAGAGTGAAGACAAATAATTAATTAAGTTTCAAGTTAGGCAAGTGGGGCACGGGGCACAGGGCAAGGCGTTTGCTGTCTTAGCGCTGACATTTTTTGTCCACAACCAACATTAAGAACAGTGAATTCTGGTGTGTAACTTGGGTGTATGCATGTCGGGACTCTCGAATACTCACAACGACTGTCCAGGGGTCGTGAGAAACTTAAAAATTTGCTGGAATTTGTTGTGTTTTCCAAAGCATCTACCAACATTTTATTGGTACTATTACCATCAATGCTCAACAACTACGAAGAGAACGAAACAGAAAGAAAAAATCGAGGATCGCAATGAGAGCAGGCCACAGGATTGAATGGTTTGGTGAGAGTGTTAAGCAGTTAGCTGATGTTGGTTAGCTGGATTAGAACGACGAACGATGTGTGTGTGGTAGTATTATTTGGGATTAGGCGATGCACATCGATGGCTTGGATTTGGATGAGTGTTACTGGTTCGGTAATACGTACATTATCGCCCCTTTGGAACGCATCCTGGGCCTTTAGGTCGGGCAAGGCATTGGAAATAAGCTCGCTCAGGGATACCTCGTGATCCCGCACTTTCTCCTCGGCAATTGAGCATGCTTTATTTGGATTGGGAATGGTTACATGGGCAAGCGACACCGAACGGCAAAGCGAACATTGATTGATGCATTGATATTCAAAGGATTCAATAGGTTTACGGTAGTTTGAAACGGTTTTTTGCGGGTTGATTGATGAGGCGAGTAAAAGACAAACATAGAGTTAGAACAGGCAAATAATAACTGGTCCCTACACAATTCCCTACGACAACTGGTTGTGGAGCACAGCGCTGAAAGCTGAGGATTAGCTGCTAGGGTGGCTACTCTTTTGTACTTACGTTCCACGTGGGCAAAGGCGCAGAAGACGCTGCGCGGACAGTAGCCGGCCTGCTGGACATCGTTGCACTTGGTCGACTTGTATATTTCCGGATGGAACTGCTGCTCGGTGCGTGTGTGGCAGTACTGACAGTTGTCGCCGGCCTCGCAGTTGCCCGGCTCGCCCCATTCCTCGCCGTGCTTGACATTGGGGCAAGGAGTTGACCTAAAGGATAACACTGTTAAGTCTGGATTTAAGTAATCTAAAGGAGTCTCCCCACCTGTACTTGTACTTCCTGGGCGAGCGACGCTTGTCCTTGCTGTTGTGGTACTGTGGACAAGCATATCCTTGGCGACACAGGCGCGGCGGGCGCTTGCAGGGCTCTGTCTTGTAGTTGGCCAGCACGTAGTTGGTGTCCTGCCACTTGGGGTCCTCGTTCATCAGATTACGCTCCTTGTCCAGGGCATTTAGAGCATTTGTGCTGTCCAGGGTGCTCTCGGCATTCTGCAGGGTCTCCAGCTCTTTGATGTCATAGACCGGTGGGCGCTGGTCCTGCACTCCGTGGGCGAAGGCGCAGTGTAGTCCGTTCTTGACGCAGTAGCCCCGGCTGTCGGTGTCGTGGACGCACATGCATGTCTTGTAGTAGCGCAAGTGGTAGCGCCTCTCGGTGTCTCCGGCAGTGCGGTGTAAGAAGGGGCATCTAAATGGGTGGAAGGGAATTTTAGTGACGTCAAAGGAGGCTATAAAGGGCTCTAAAGTAGAGTAAACCGACTATGAGATATCCTAAAAAGAAAGAGTTTATCTTTCTTTTTATCATTATTAGGGCCGTTTTCTTGTCCGTTTGTTAAATTCAAAACAATAAAACAATAATTTCCCATACGATTTCAAGGTTTTAACCCTACTTTAAATTTAACAAACGGACGAGAAAACGGCCCTTAGTATGATTAGTTATTATACGAAATTTTACTGATAATGAAAAATTCTTTCTGACCCATGTCCAATTCAACAAGGGAATTAAATCTACCGAGTGAAGTTTCTGATTTCTAAGAACTGATAAAGATTGTAGAACATTCCAAGCTTATAGTATTTATCAGTATACATATATTCTTTTTTCAAGATTTTTTTTTTTATAATTAGGTGAATAATTCTAATTTCTAACAAATAGTGAATTGCATTTAGGAGGTTCCACTGTAACTACTTTATAGGTCCAGAAACACTATCTATTTACATCCTGCGAACCTCACAATGAAAACAAGGTACCTTTTAATACCCTGCAAGTAATGAGACTTGAAGAATAAGCAGATAAAATAGGGGTCAGAGGTCGGGCCTCGAGTCTGGGTCATAAACTCCGCCTGTGTTGATGTTGTTGTTTCCCGCAGAACGTTTGCAATTGCGTATTACTTTTAGCCCGTTCTTGCGCTCGGCAGAGCTTTTCTCCAAAGCTCGCCAGCGACAATAACTGTACATTTCGAAGCTGCCGGGGGAAAATCAAAATAAACGAAGAAGAAAACACGCAAAAGCGAAACGCAATAAAAACAATGACGCACACACTTGTAGCGGTGGTGTGTGTATACGGCGAAAGAGCAACAACCACCACCACAAGGCCAAAAGCGGAGGCTGATAAGAATTTGCCAGCCCAATAGAGCTGGAATCACTTTCACTTTTGCACGGTGGTGACCTCGCCTACAAACAGACACTCACACACACGCACAGATCCGCAAAAGCCACCCAACACCCACACCCACATACGCACTTACAATTTCACTTTTAGCTTTCCAGACGACGCCGAGCCCCGCGCACCCCGCACCTTGGTTTTTGTTTGTAAACACGAAGACAAGAGATACACACACATCGCGAAGGAACGAGAGCCCAAAGAGGAAACGAAAAAATACTACGTCGTTCGCTATTGCTGTCTCACCCCCTCTCCCATTTACAGCGATTTCATCAGGCAATCTGGGACTTCGAATCTGGAGGATATCTACAGGATACTCACTCATCGCCCTCGGGACAGATGCCAGTGGTCTCGTCGTATTTGGTGCAGTAGTTGTCCGCGCTGTAGTTGAAGGTGCCGTCGCGCTTTCTCACGGGGCGACGCCGACGCTGGTTTTGAAAATGCCAATTGAAGCAGACGAAGGGGCGATGCTGGTTGCACTTGTGCTGCAGAAAGGACTGGCACTGCTCCACGCGGAACTCCTTCAGGTAGCTGAAACGAGGGGGGGTCAGTTCGGGCCACTATAAACACATTTCCAGCTATTTACGTGTAGTGATTGGGCTTTTCCTGCTGCGAGGAAAGCAGCAGCTTGTTCGTTTCGTTTGCCAACATCTTAGGGTATGACCGTCCCGTCGGGGCGAAAGAGTGGAAGGTGGAAAATGGAGAAACAAAATAATTGCTGGTGGGTATTTTTTAAAAATCCCCAAAAGCCACACCATTTCTACGATTCACCATTGACACAAACCCAATACGTAAGTTTTATTTATGCTCATATTACGTAGTACGTATAACGATACTTTTTGAATAAAAATAAATATTTTTATTTTATATGAATATTATACCCTATACACTATTTCAATGTTGATTTTTATACCTGTGTAATTTTGGTCAGAAGTTTGTAACGCAGTGCGAGCTCAGTTTAAAAGCAGATCAAGTTTGAAAATCGACCCGATCGGACGTCTATATCCTATAGCTCCCATAGGAACAATAGGGTAAAAAATTATAAAGTTTTATTTTTTACATTTCTACGATTTACCATTGACACAAACCCAAACGAGCGATGACACCGTCGGGCTCGCGGAAAAAATACTTTTTAAATACCAATATACCAAAGATATTCGAAACGGTCATGCAGAAAAACCACAGTTTAATTTCACTTCAATTCTGGCGCGCAATTCAAACGACCACCCCAGTGGCGCAATCTGCATTCGGCTGAAATTGCGTAAGGAGACAGAATGCTTTTTGGAACACATGATTGCACGCTGTAAATACCTTAGGTATTAAAAAATGACGTGTTTTGTGGATACGTAGTACGTATCCAATTTTGGCGACAAAACACGTCATTTTTAAATACCTAAGGTAGGCTATACCGATAAGTATTCAAGGCCGTAGAGTAGATTTTTTTTGCAACATTTCCAAAATTTAATAAAATATTGAAAAAAGTATTAAATGATTTAGCAATATTTCAACCTAAAAAAGAAATGTGTTAATATTATTTAATGAATTTATAAATTTAGAATTAAGCAACAGTCATTTTAAAATTATAACGAAAAAAACAATCCTTTGAATGCAGGCCATGTTAACCTGGCTAAAAATAATAAACAATATCTTAGTTATTAGTCAAAGGGTATGGGAATGTAGGCATTGATTTTGTCCGTCTGCCGCTGCGCAATGCACTCGCTGATCCACACGATATTGCGACACTCCAGCTGCTTGAGCTTGATGAACGAGTAGAAGACCCCGAACTGGAACTGCTGCAGGAAGGTCTGCACATTCTTCTTGGCCTCGTAGGCGAGGAAGCGGTCCTCCAGCGTGATCATGCCGTCGGTGTCCCGCTCGATGTTGTCGAACATCTTGCCGTATCCATCGAACATATTGCACACGTCCCTAATCTTATCCGAGTCATTCAAGGTGGACATGCTGGCCAGGGCGATTTTGGGCAGATAGCCACAGGTGGGAAACATCTTGAGACGCTCCTTTGGTCTGTGCGGTAAAAAATATATTAAACACTTCTCACACAAAAAATAGCATGTCATCGTAAAATCGATATGACCCTGTAAACTTCAGGTCATGCAAAACCCAGGTCAAAATCACCTGAGGTCAGGTCAAATTGAAATTGATCTTAAATAAGGTAAAATTGACCATATGATTGATTCATATTGATTTTTTTGGGTGCAGATCTATTCTTCAGGAAACCTACGTAATATCGCTGTCTATGGAATTCACAGCTATGGTGATGGCCCGACGATCTGCCTCAAAGGACAACAGATTGGACATCACATTGGCCGTATTGCCGCCCAGATTCTGGCAATAGGCGTAGAACTTCTCCAGATAGGCTCGGTACAGGTGGGCCCGCACAATCTCGACGTCGAGGAACCGCAGATCCTCCACGGGCAGATCAGGTGGCACAAACTGGGCGATGGGCGTGTCAATCAGGATGGCGTCGAAGAGCTCCGAGGAGTTGGTGGCCACCTCGATGGCGCCCAGTTGGTCGAATTCGCCCAGCGGATGGCACATCTTCAGCAGACGCTTCATGGATCGGTGGTTATTCAGGCCAGCTATGAGCAGAGCCACGTTGTCGATCATAAAGGGATAGCGGATGTAGTCCATAAACGTGGTCAGTGGCTCCGTAGAATGGCTGCGTATGTAGTAGTACTGCTGCAGCAGACGGTCCCTCAAGCACTTCTCGATCACCTCCACGCAGGGATCGCTCTTGTCACCGCCGAAAATAATGCCATAGTCGGTGCCCTGGATGCTGATCATCACGTCCTCGAGGGAGTCGCACTGGGTGAGGTTCAGGTAGTCCGAGTTCTTCAGCATGCCGTTCTTGAAGCCACGCGTTATGGCCTCTAAATAGCCCCATTCCGAATTGTAGATTAGCGACATTTTCGAGCTATTTTTGATGGGACTTTACAGCAGGCAACTGTGAAGTGAAACAAATTGGTAGTGAACTTTATATCTAGGATGTAGTGATTCTGTTTTTTTATTGTTTTCAAATTTAAAGTAAAGATTTAACTGATTTTAAAAAGTAACGGCTTGTTTATTTGAATTTTCAGTGGCGCCATCTTTTGGTTTGCTTGCTTGTTTATTGTTATCCCGATAGATGGCGTCGGTGCATACATTGTGCTGCCAGACCTTTGTTTTTTATGACAGTATGGCAGCACTACAATAGTGTGTAAGATTCAAATTTAAATACAAATTGATTTTCCGTTAGTTAGATTTTGTTAATTTAATTGCTTAATAAGGGTTGACAAATGAAATAGTTTGAGGTATTGAACTAGACTTACTCGCACCTCTCCAATTACAGCTTAGAGATCACTTGGCTGCATCTAATCCGCTCATTCTCCCGGAACTTATGCACATGCGCCTGGAGAGATGCTGGACGGGATGCACCTGTTGCTCTGGGCCGCTTGTTTACTTGCTGCCCACTGTTTGTTTACCCAGTCAACTAGCTGCGCTCGAGCCAACAGCATTCGCACTGCAAGTTGTTACAATATATTCGGCCTTTCATCTAGAACAAATAAACATGTGAATTTCCCGCTGGCACTTTGTTTTTAATATTGCGACGCCTTGCCATCGCCTTGTTAGTTTCGCCGCGTGTGCATCGCATAAAACGACAATTATTATTGCCGCCGAACCATTTAATTGCCCATCACAGGGGTGTCAATGCGGACAAAGACAAATCCTCACGTTCGTTTAACATCAAACTAAGCTAATTCTGCCTGGCAGTTGACAAAATGAAACTGTCACAAGTGATATTCTGTGGTTTTAAGTTGTAAAGCTATAGGGGAAACTATGGTAAGAAAATTACGGGATACAAAAGAAAATACTTTGCCTTAAGTTTGATTAGAAATTACTTAAAAGCTAAAAATATATCGAATTTCTAAAGAAATAAAAATTGTTAATTATATTTTTAAAATTATAATTTTAAATGTTGTATATTTATTTTTACATTTTCAACTTGATTAACAAGTTTTAAAGTATCAGTTAATATTAATCAATTTTCTGTTTAAATGTTTAATTTCTAAATTTAAATCCAAGCAGCCGCGGGGTCAAATTCTTTTTCGTGGATTCTGCAATTTTCAAATAATTTCCAGGTCAATGGCGAATGCTTAAGTCACAAGTGCCACCTGTTACTTTCCGACAGCGTCAAGAAAGTATTTATACAATGTTCTCGGGCAGCCGACAGAAATCAGCCGATATGGGCAATAAATAACCCCACGCCATAGCATTTAATTCTGGCAGTTGTCATGTCGGGGGCTCGTCAATCTGGTAAACTTTCCACGCGAAAAGTCTTTGGCTGCAGTCGTTCTTTGTCCCTGATATGATATTCCCGGTCATATGCCCGTCAAGGAGTAAAAACCAAAGTGACAGCTGAAATGCGTTTCCAACACATACAACTTTCACCAGACCAAAAAACACAAATCATCGTGGGGGAAGTATATTTTACATTGGCGAAAATATTTCCACGGAAATACATTTCCCAGAATGCAGGAAGTGTTTGAGATAAAAGTAGAATAGGAAAGTAACGTGCTTTCTTTTGGGTATATTGAAGAATTAATATCACATTTTTTACAAGGACATCTTTCCGCTTTCCCGAATGCCCTTAGCACTCTTCGTGTAGATGACCCGGTAAATGTAGAAGCCAACGGCGGCATGAACTGCAACCACGGTGCAAATGGCCGAAATAATGTCGGCATCAATGTGGGCGAAACTCTTGAGCACCACAAACTTTAGGGCAAAAAAGGTGGCGATGGGAAAGCCGATTATCAGGGAGCAGTAGGACATCAGCAGCAGGACTATGAAAACGGTGCCATGTTTCTGGGTCTGCAGGGGGACCAGGACCTCCCACTCGGCCCAAACCTCAAGCTGCTCCATGCGCGAGAATTCCTGCACGAAGATCAGGCGCAGGATGTAGCCAGTGATCAGGACATGCATCACTATCACTGTGGCCACAGCAGATCCAATCGCCACATTCGTATCGCTACTTCCATTCAGCGGTTCCAGTACAAAGAACTTGAAGGTGCTGAAGATCAGCACGGGGAAAAAGAGAAAAACGGCCAGGAAAAGCAGAAGCTGTTGAATTCGAGCCAGCAGATACTCAACTCGTCTTTTCTGGAAGGGAAACTATCTAAAGGGTTTTAATAGGGTTTACAGATGTACTTATAATGGGGTAAGAATTTCTCAGCTGCGAATATGATAAAATAGATTTTCTTCTTGTAGAGTTTATATATCTGTGATTTTGTTCCCTGAAGAAATTGAATATTCCATCGATTTCTATGATGGGTATATGATGGTATGGTACTAAAATTATGAGATTGACATATAGGCACATTATCATAAAATGTTTCCCACACCAAAACAACATCTAAGCTGCCTAATTTAGGGAACTAAGTAACCAGCAAACATCCAATTTTAGCAAAGCATAAAGATTGCCACCGCGCGAGGCAGAAATATCTGGTCGCATGACCGGGCGACACGACTATATAGTAATTAGTCTTGGCTTAACCACCTCGCGGTAGCCAGAAAAAGAACTTCTGCAGATTAGATAGGTGTAATTAGCCAGACGAAGAAGTCCGGGATAGCAGAGTACAGTCTACGGCTACCTGACCGATAAAGCTCTCAAATCAACGTCGTGATTTTTATGGACACACTTGACTCAAATACCGCGCCCTCGATTTATAGCCAAAGATTATTTGTGGCTGGGTCAGCTGACTCCAAGGGGAACGGGTGTTTCCCCAGCAAGAACCATGAGTAAGGTGGTTTTCAATTCATAAATTCAAGCCACTACAAATCAGTTGTCCAAGTTCAAATTGGCATTCCTGATTTCGTTGTCAATTTTTCATAAATTATTATTATTTTATATAATATGCATTTAATTTGGGTTAAATTTAAAGTACCCTTACCACTTGACATATATTTCATTTGAAGCATCAACTTCCCTTTAAATTCCACTCGGTTATTCAACAGAAAAACATTTAGGGTACACTGGTATAAAAAACGCATAGTAAAATCAAATATTTTTTTAGTTGATTTCATTTACTACTTTTCATAGTTAAATCAAATAAATAAATCATTGATTTTAATAAAAAGCATATTTAAACCTTCATTCAAATATAAAAATAATAAAATCGAAGGGAATTATATTTGAAATGATATTACTGATGTTGAAAACCAAAGTCGCAATAGTAGTTTTTAGTATTGTAAATAGTAAGTTATATACATAGTATAATCAATGTTTTTTCTGATCCGATTAAATACTTTCGCTATTTATTTTGAATAAAAAGTTTATTTGACACAATTATTTTGAAAGTCAAGATTCAAATAATATTAAATTAAATTTCCATAAAATGTATGAGTGAAAAGTAGCATTTTTAGTTTTAAAAAGTTATATGTGTTATGGATCGTGTTAACTTTACATTTAAGTTGAACTTATCCACTCGCGCGTAACATGGTGCGATGGATCAATGGGTAAGGCATCTACCTCTGACGCAAGAGGACCCCGGTTCGAAACCGTCTGAGGCAGAGTAAGTAAAAAGTTTTTAAGAAGCGTATTTAACATTTCCTTAACATTTATAAGAACAATATTGTATTAAAAAAGTTGTAAGAATTACTAATTACAAAAAAAAAAAAATAAGTTGTGGTGTCAGCGGGACTTGAACCTGGTACCCCCGAGCACAAAATAGTATCAGAACCTAGCCCTTGACCCCTGAGCCATGCCCATATTATTTCCTATCGAGGCAGAATGCTCTTTTAAGTTTAAGTAATATTTTTGATTGTAATGACAATAAATAACTGCATTTCAAAATTAAAGTAAATACTTTAGGCGCTCACTCGAAAAAAAAAAACAAATTTGTAAATTATTATTACAAGATTCTGGATAAAAAAAATAGTCAAATCAAATACAAAAATCTTTGAATTTACTATAAAAATATTTAAAACATTATTAACTATGCGCCATATACGATTTTACTATTTTCATGTTAGGATCTATTTCGTTGGGAAAAATAATTGAAACAATGGTAAAATAGTGACATTTACCATTTTTTTTTTACCAGTGTACATAAACATTTAATGAGGCTATAGATTAGCTGGGATTACCCTACAGCTTTGACGTTGGCTTCGTTTTAAATTAATAATCTAATCTTACTTTACCCATATATTACTCATACGCAACGTTGGCCCATAGATTTGAATGCAAAGCAGACTTACTATCAAAAGGGAGTTTAAATGAATGGTCTTATCCAAAATATTATTATTCTATTTTTGTGAATCATGCTAATTCTTTACAAGCCATTCTTATCAGTTTTAAATGGCTGGGCATGTTTTGGATTCTAAAAATATTTTATTTTTAGCGATAAAGAAGACGCCATATTTGTGTTTTGGTTATTCCTACGGTTATCCGATCGGCGGTTGCCAAGGGCTAGCACGCATCCCCAGAAATAGATTATTTAGCTGTACAAGAAAACTGGCCCCCATCCAAATGGCCAACAGCTGTGAGCAGCGGGAAAGGCGTGAAAATATTGCAAAATAATGAGAATTATGCCAAGTTCTTGTATAGCTATGTGAATCGGGTCAATATCCCAGAGAAAACCCACTTCGACAGGTTGACAAGTGGGTCTCGGATTCGGATAGCTCATTAGTTGTGGGATGCTGATGGTCATGCAAATTGCACGACAGCTAATGGCGAAACTATTTGCAATTCAACGCCCGCCGGGAATCCTCATTCTGGAATCCGGAATCCTGTATCCGGATCCTTCCGGTTCAATTTGAAGCGTGTCCTTGAACCGAAGCTGCCTCACTTATGCATGCAAGGGGCTTGCAGACAACTTATACGCATATGTGCATGGCAATTATGGTAATTGCCCTGTCTGGGCATCCGCTTCCCGTTGGCGTCCGCTTGTTTGCTTGGCTCTACAGACCACCCAACCACCCACCTATCCTCCTAACCACCCACCCTTGCCACTGACCTTGACTGCACTGTTCCCCTCTACTTTTTCGAGGAGCCTGAGCACTCGCACTCACAATAACCTTGAACAACACGTTGACCGTCACTTGAGAGTTGACCAAGTTTTATTGGTTTCCTTTGAGTGCAGCGCGGAAAGTTTTCCCCATTGAAGCGTGGCCGAGGGGGAAATCGATTGGCAATTAAAAGTCGCCTGCCAGGGGACTTTTCCCAGAAGTACCTCTGCGAACCCCATTGAATGCTGTGCACACTGTAGATACAGTAATGCAGCTCTTAGTGCTCCATTAACCATTATCCGATTTGCATACAAGGGAGTTGTTTGGCTACGGGATTTAAAGCGGTTCACTCACTTAAAATCCACATAAATCAGCCAGGAGTGGCGGTCAAAGACACCCTAAGTTTAATGCTCTCTTGCTCGGAAAACATGTGTATCCTTTGGTGTATCCTTCGGATGTTGCGGCAGGTCGGTTACATCCAATTTCGGGCAATCAGCATAAATTTATTGCCACTCGGCGAGCGCTCAACTTTGAACCGAATTCGACTCTAAACTATTTGCTGACCTCTGGAAAATCCCGACCCTGGAAAATCTCTAGCTTTTCTCTAGAAAATAACGGTCAACAGACGGGCTCGAAATAACTCTGGTGACATGTGATGGAGTATTGCCTGTCCTCGTTCTGCTCCTCACTTTGATTGCCATTGTTCTCCGTCCGGGGTCAAAGTGGGCCGTAAAACAACAGGATGGCCCTCCTAATGAGTGTGTTAATGAGCTTGCGGAGATAATAGAAATTGCTGCCGGGTTCAACTTCCTACGAGGGACAGCTGAGCACATAAAATAGTACGGCCATAAATAAGAGAAACTAACTTAATTAAATAGTGAGCTCAAGTTCGAAGCTAAAGAAAATAATTAACTTTTATATTAAAATACACATTATAATCTAAAATGGATTATTTATTTTATTTTATGGTATATTTGCATTTCCTTTGTTATGTTTTAGCTCCAATATTTGCCATTAGTCATTTGGAAAACATATTTCCTGACTTATAGAACCCTCTTTAAGATAAATCAGACCAAACAGTCGCAGTTTAAAGTCTAGACCTGATCAAACAAATTTAGTTTACCCCATGGATGTCCCACCAACCTGAAAGGCTACTAGTTTTGTTTCAGAAACCCCCTTCGGAAGAGATAAGTCAATGTCAACTGTCGTAAATTCGTGCTTGCACTTGTTGCTAATATTTGCGCACGGATCCGTCAGCGAAAAGTCGCGCTGAGTCAACAGCAGTCATGCGCCAGCAAAGATCCAGATTCGGATAGGGGTACAGATACAGATACAGCTATAGCTACCGCTCCAGATACAGATACAGATACAGATAGATACAGATATGGGAGTGACAGTCGCGAGTCTGAATTTATGGATAGCTTTGTTGACCAGCGTGACAGGAGAGCCATCAGGTGTCTCCCGGCTCCTTACGACAGTTTGCCCAAAGCCAAAAGCACCGTCGATGTCATAATCGCTCGGGCATTTCCTGAGCTTATCCCCTTTATTTCAGCTGTTTGAACTTCGCTGATATAGGCGCCTAATGCCACTGACATTCCAAAGTCAGCTGTAGCAGAGTTTTGCATATTTATCATCATCATATTAAGATCATAAAACTGGCCTAAGATCTTAATACCTCGACTTGATGGCTCATTAACATTAAAGTGACCGCTAAGTCACAAGGCGCAATTGCACACTCCAGATAAGTTTGGATTAGGCGCTTGGCTGGCGCCCATTGGCAACTAATTAGGGACAGTTGGTAGACTTATGGGCCTGGGACTGGCCATTAACGTCACACAATATCAGCTGATATCGGCGGGAAAGACTTGAGATTCGAGTATTGCTTGGGAGAACCACCAAGGGCAATAAACGAAAGTAACTTAAGATTGAGCTTGTAATCGGCCACGTTCCTTTGTCTACAGTTTCTAGAAAATATTAAGTGATAAGAATGTAAAATTATTAAACTGTAACTAAATCAATAAATAATAATGATTTTTATATCGAAGATGCATTCATAAAGATCCATATTTTTAAACCACTTAAATATTAATATTAAATAACAATTAATAATAAACCTAAATATTAAATGTTAAAAGAAACCTTGAGGCAACTCTTGCATTCATTTCAGAAAATATTGCCTACTTCAAGGGAACAAATTTAACAAATTAAATTATTATTCATTTCTCTGCCTGAAAAGGATTTATCAATTCCCATTTATATTTACCCAAAATAAATGCATGACAAATTCTTGTGTGCTAATAATTCAGATGGCTCTATCTTTTATTTGGCCAATAAATCTTCGGACTTCTTTTCCAAGTGAATTCTATTTATATACATTTATTTATTCCTGAACGAGGTGAGCCTTGTGTGGTTTCCTTGCAGCTGCGGCACGTTCCGAGTGCAGAAGGATTTTCTTTGGGGAAACGAAACGCATCCTAGGTCACTTGTGGCCAGGTTGGCATGCAAATGGCGTTTGGCTGGACTGCCTGGCCCACTTTTGTGGTGAAGCGTGCACCGTGTCGTGCAATAATGGGTTCAATGGCCGGCCAGAGGTCATCGAAGGACGTCAGCAGGATGACCCTTCCTCCTCTGCCATGCTGGGCACGCAATGACATTGACATGCGTTGGCTCAGCAGGACGCTTAGGTGGCGGCTCCTTCTCTCCTTATTCAAGCAGATCCGCTGTACGTGCCCGTACTTATTTATTGGCCAGTGGCACTTGTTAGCCAAGGCCTGAATTCACCTGCGAGTTGGCTAAAAATATCCACAAACGCTCCTCGCAACTAGGTCGTCGACGAAAGTATGCAACACTTGGCCATTAAAAGGAAATTACAGCACATGGAAAACTCGGTGCTCGAGTCAGGGGATTACTTTAAATTCGAAGGGTGGCTCTTGCATTATCCTCAAGCACAGCCACGTGTGCCAGCCACGTGTGTTCGTAACTGCTCATGCAAATGATTCAATCGAGCTTATGGTTTCGCTCAAGAGCGATTTCCCAAAACAACAGCTTATGAATTTCTCCGCCCTTTAATCATGACCTTGAAAAATAAGTGGATGCTACATTTTCAAAACCACTGAGGTTGCCAGCCCTAAGCTTCTATCGAAATAAATGCACTGGGAAAAATCTAGACTAAAAATCTTATTATAAAAAAAATAAATTTGAATTTATATTTCTGCTAATTTTATCAACTTTCTTATCAAAATAAAATAAATAAGTTTTCATTACTTATATTCCTTTTATGGTATTTTTGTGGTCACATACGTTATTCCCTGTGTACACATATAATTCTCCACTTTAGCACATGTCACAAAGGCACAGATGGAAGTGGTCTTGGGGGAGTTAAGACTCGAGCTGGAATACCTAATTGGCACACTTGAAACTGGTTCGTGTTCTTCGCCTTCCCACACAGGCACATGAAATACTGATTTACCGGCTGCAAGCGTGTGTGTGTACCCTTTCTTCGCAATTATATAATAAGATTTATATCTAAGACAATTGAGCATTTATTCACCGCAATGTGCCAGTTATTAGACAGGGCAGTTTCAGTGGCATGCCAACAAATATATAGTTTACTGTGTGGGATTCATTTCTATATGAGAGTGTGCATGAAAAATTTGGGGTAAATAAATCAAGCCATTGACGTCAGAGGTGGCAAAGTGCACATAGTTGCATTTAAGCGTTTAAATTTAGATTTTAAATCTGAAGAGTTAATAACTATATCACTAAAAAAAAGTTATCATACAAATTTATTGCAAAGCAATCCCTTGCCAATGATATTTCATAATAGATATTATCTAAAGTGTTACGCTTTATTTGTTGTCTTTTCTATTTGCAATAACGAAAACTCATTATTCTGTTTAACTTGCAATTTGTTTTTTAAAACAGGCGTTTTGTTTACCGCAAAACGTTAATGATCTCTGCGCCACGTGCTGTCGAAGCGCGATTAACAAAAATTGGTCGTAAATCAAATACTATAGCGATACAAGCACTATTCTATGGGGATAAACTAAGCAACTTATTATATTCCATTCTCCCGAAATTGCAAACGTGATTCGCCGGACACCTATTCAATTACCTATTTACCGTAATGGCCGCTTTACGGGGAGCACTTTGAATAGTTGGGCAAAGTGAATACACAATGATTCACTGGCTATTTCCATTTCTATTCATACGAACTGTGGGCATGTGACACCTTGCACTTTGCGCTGATTGTGTTTGCATTCGCCCTGCTTGGAGCACAATTGCACAGGTGTAAGCGGTGTACAGTGTACAGATACAGATGCTAGCACTTGAGGGAAAACAAAAATAGCGGGGGAAAACCCAAGCACTGTTACAACAAAATGTAATATCTAATATTTGGGTTGAGAACTGTTTTGATTGAAAACGGAAATTACAAAATTGAAAATAAAATTATCATCTCTGTTTACAGATTTAAGTCAAACCATTTAACTAGTTCTGTAGGTACTAATTAAATTTTTCCATTAAATCAACGAAGGGGAGGGAAAACCCAGGGTATGAGACAGAGGACAAAAGAGCTGGCAAGAGTGAAAGATTTATGATGCAAATTGTGTGCGACACTATCAACTGACATTGCTTTATCACTGGACTATATATCACGAAGAACTTTTCTATGGGGGGTTAGCATGGTAGAAACCATAGTTGTCAATTTATGACACTGGCATTTGATTGATTGGCAGCAAGCAGGGGCTCACGAAAGGGGATGGAAACTGACTGTGCAAGCACTTTATATTAAAAAATTATAAAATAATTTAATAATATATCAAACTATTAATTTACTTTGATCTATTAACCCCCCTTAAGAAATCCAAAGCACGCCCTTTTATCGATAGAAATCTCTTCTTGGTTTTGCGCATTTCCTGCAAAGCAGACATCTTTAATTCCCTTTGTGCTTTAAAGGATTTCCCACCTGTTGCGCTCTTTCGCTCTGCCCCTCTCCTTTTCACCCACGCTTCCCCTCCCCCTTTGCTTTCTCCGTGGAACTTCTGCCGGCAATCACATGGCGCCAACATCTGTTAGCCGGCAGAGCAGCGACAGCGCCGCCGGCGACCTTATGACAGATTTGGCAATGCTGTAAAGCAAAGCAAAAGCACAAAGGCAGAAAAAAAGCACGAGCAACAACGAAGCAAACGCCGACGCAGCAGCGAAGCCTCGTTTGGCCAACTCGATAAAAAAAAAAAAATAAAATTATGTGTGCTAGATGACGCTACCGGTCGTGCCCGCTGTAGTTGTTGTTGCTGCCGGTGGTGCTGCTGCTGCGGCGGCTGTTACTGCGGCGGCTGCTGCTGCGGCGGCGGCGTCTGTTGTTGCTGCTCGCTTTTGGATAATAAAACAGGCAACGCGCACTCGAGCGCCAAGTCAATTTGCGAACGCCGCTCGTTCACAACGGAGGCGCAAAACACAAAAAAATAAAATAAAAACAAAAAATTTAAATACAAACAAACGGTAATAGCTCTTCTTCATTTACCACCCCCTATACAGCCCTCCCTCTCGCACTTTTGTTCCCACGTTTTGCGCGTGCGTGCGCGAGCAGAGCAGAGCAGCAAAAGCGAAAATAAAAGACCGAAATCAAAACCAAAATAAATCGCCAGTCTCCAACTCGTCTCGTCCACAGCAGGTCCACTTTGAAAATCGCGCGCGGTTCGCGGTTGGCAGTTCGAAATTTCCAAAGTTTCGAACGAAAGTCGCGGGCGTTTCGCTGATAACATAAAATAATTCGCCAAAATTCGGTAAACCCACAAACTGAGGAGCCCAATAATCGAATTGTGTGAGTTTAGTTTCGGAATATAATAAAATCAAAAATTTCTGGGGAAACTCTCGAGTGAAAACGGTTTGTTAGCCCTGCCGTCATTGTTATTATTTTACGTGTTTCCCGTTTATGGTCTCTCGCACCTCAGACGAGAGAACCCCAAAATAAAATGTTGACGGCATTTAATTTGCATAAAAAAAAAGCTTAGCGCTGAAATATGAAATTATGGAAATATTCCAACAAAAACTTGCAACAAATTATCGTTCATACATTTTATGAGCATAAGCTCTGGTCGTCAACTCGCTCGGCTGGAACTTTATAAACAAGATACGAGACAGTAAATTTTGAAAATATTTATTTTTCCAAAATATTGCAAACCAAAATGGTTCTAAAAATATTTCATTTAAAATGTGTCATTCAAAGTGTATTGTTGTTTTGCTCAGCAAATCCATGTATATGCAGTACATTGTGTATTTCAAAAGTGTTTGGTGGGTATTTTGCTAAAAATCTGTTGCTAACAGAAAATTAAATTGACGGCTTGAAATTAGTGAAATAAATCACAATGGAAACTTCATTTTGTTTAGAAAAACAACCCCTTAAAACATGTTATTAGTTATCTAAAAAAAAACAATAAAGTAATAATGAATTTAATTTTATTAAGCGCATTAAATATAGTAAAATCATTTATATTTGAAAAGTGGCAAGAGATAATTAAAATATAACTTTATCAACAAAAATGTGTTTATAAACAACGATAGCTCACAAAATTAATAATCATAATTACTAGTCTTGTGTGGTTCTAATCGATCCGAGAAATAAAAACAGGCAAAAATATAAACATTTCTTATGTTATATTTAAGTTTTACCTAACATACCCATAAACATAATGTGGGCTTACAAGACAGTCTGCCATAAACTCCCAGACCCAAAATATTCCATTGCGGGCTCGAAATCTATTGATAGGTATATGTTCCACTGGAAAATCCACCAATTATAGCATAGCTGTGGCTAATTTTACTATTAATTTATAGAGCTGTGGACCACCATATCGCCAGTTGGTCCCAGTCGAGACAAGCACCCCCAGACGGGATGATAACGGTAATAAACCGAAACCGCAGTTCGCGAAGTAGAATTCACGAATTCTCCAACCACAAAATGATACGAACTTTAGGACTTTGTTAAGTGTGTTAAAAAGATTAAAAGCGGGAAGCGAGATGAAAACGCTGAAAAGTGTGAACTTAATAATGAGATGTGGGCGGTGCGACAATGTCCAGGATTGCCCCCAGATGTTTGATACCGATATATATGTGAATGTTAACTCAAGTCTAACCCGCATTCGTGTTCCGTTTTGGTTGCAGAGAACAACGTGGCCGATAGCAAAGAACCATCATCCATGATTGGCTCGGACGGTTCCAGACTGCAAAAGAAACGCGCCCCCAATAGCTATTCCAATTTTCCCTTATAACGATTACTTTCCCCCAAAGTCGGCGACTTCTCGAGATCTATACCAAAGATATCAAAGTGCAGAAAGTTAATTTAAACTATTAGCCGTAACTAGTCAATGCCAAAAATGATAGTGGATAAATCGGATCTTGTGGGCGAGAATGCCTGGGCGAAACTGTTGCCCGAGGAGAAGGAAAAGGCCACCATAGTCAAGATGAGCAGTAGTAGCAATAACAACGACTCCAAGGAGACCACGCCCCTCAATGTGGACCAACTGGTGGCAGCCACGAGTCCTGCAGTTGCAGCGGAGCAGGGGGCGGTCTGCCTGGAGGAGACCTACAAGCGCACCTCCACCTACGCCTCCAATATCAATTCCACGGGCGGCGAGTCGAGCGGCAGTGGAACGCAACTTTCCCGCAAGGAGTCCATCCTGGGCAGCTTCCATCGGCAGATCCGGCGATCCATCAAAGCCGTTAGCGAGTCCCCCGGTCCACTAACCAGGTGAGTGAGATAAGATCTCTTATGTCTTGGCCAACTTGGCGTATGAGTAACGCACCATTACTCATACGCCCTGTTGTTCGCGGTTTTGGAAAACAAGCGGTTATCTTTCAATTTGAAACTATAACAGAGGTACCACATTATTGTCTCTTTGCTATTTTTAAATCAATATTGTCGTCTCTCTATTTTTAAGCCAATATTGATGGATACTTGTTATATTAGCCAACTCTATTAGCGAACGGAATAAACATATTGGAAATTTCTATTAACTCAGCCGTTTTACATCTTAGATGTTATTAGCTTTAAAGTGTATATTTAATATTTACCAGTATTTAAATATTCGTTTATTATTTATTTTTTTATTATTTGTAAATGTAATTTAATTTGGGCTATAGTTTAGGCTTTTCCATTACAAGCAAATTGAATTTCTGAGAATTTTAGAATTATATTGTAATGTTTATCCTTTATGGATTTAATAGTCAATAGCTTATTCCATCTCCTCCCTGTGTAAATTAGTTGTGCAATAGTTTCCTAGAAGTTTTTAATGATGCAAGAGCATAGTTGCGCCCTGAATAACTAAACTAATAAGCTTAAGTACCAGTGTTTGTTATTCACAGAACTTGTATGCATGTACAAATCTTTGCATTTTGTGGAAGTTTCCAAGAACTGGCAGTCAGGCAAGTGCTCAGATACGAATATATCCACATAATCCGAGCCCACACATCGGTAAACAAACAGCATTCGGTGCACTTCCCCCTGACTGGATTTTGTGGTGCTTTTTTCACTTGGCTTTTTTGTCAAACATGTCCCCGTCCATTGATAGCTGCGACTTGAGGTTATTTTGATATGCAAATGGAGGTGACGTCTGTTGGTCAGTTGGTCGCACTGAGAATGGAGAACCCAGAACCGAGAGCCGAGTGCCGAGAATGGAGAACTGAGAATCGAGTCACTAGAGCGAGATAAACCTTTTGACTTGATTGCCTGAAATGACAAAATTGAATTATTTTGATTTGAGCGCCGACAGTGGGTGGACAATTAAATATTATTTCCGCCTGTTGCTTCTGGCTCAGCGTGCGATACAGATACAGATACAGATACTGTTGATTCAGATGCTGGCTGCCTTAATTGGGAATAGAGTCTCGGTATCTTGTGTGCAGTACTGCCCGTGCCCAAATGAACGCCCCTGACATTACGCGTATTTGTTTACCGAGCACTAATGCCGCGGCAACTCCACTCTGTTTATGGGAACGTTCTCCCAGAGAACCAAATAACCGAGTACCGAGAGTCAACGACTTGCACCTGCCCCTGCCTTGACATAAATTTGCATAATGCGCCTCGGAGCCTCGAATTCTCGATTTCGGTTTGGCAATCCACTAATTCACTTGCCCATAAGTTAATTAAAAACGTGTTAACTGCTCGCTGGCCGGCCGCTGTTGCTCACACTCATTTTTCGATTGGCCAAATGCCAGAGGAATCAAGAATCGAGAATCCGAGGGGATTTCCTATGTGTGGATGCCGAGAATTATGCTTTCTGCTCGCGGACACCATCTATAAATAGCCCTTGAGTGCTTTTGATGGTGATATTTAGCCCTGCGGCGCATTCGACACACTTTCTTCCGAGGAGCGCAATCTTTGTCTGCGGCGCCCAGTGCGTATGATTGATATTTGCCTCATTTCCGCCGACAATTGATTTGGGCAATATTTGCGCGGTCGACGATCGTGCGCGCCACTCGAGCCTGTCCGAACGCCCTCAGCCGATTGCCCACGATTCAGCGAAATTAATTATTTTTATTATGATAGATCCATTCGATAAGTAGCCGTGGAATCACCGCTCAACGACCCGCTGATTGTGACCACTTGGGAGCGGGTTGGGCAAGATCCGAGCGGGCAATTATCGATCACAGGTTGTAAATTGATCTGCGGAAAGAGCTGGAATTATTTAATCGTTTTACAAGCAGTTGTAAATATTAACATTAACTAAAGGTCTGCGCGTGTTAACATTTAAGCGTTGGGACCCTCTGTAATTTACTGTTAACAAATTACAATGAAATATTAACAGAGTCAGCATTATTTAATGTAAGTTGTGTAGTGAAAACAGGCTTTGGCGGCGGCTAATATGAAAAACAGTAATTTTTGAAAACTTAATAAATCGATCCTTGATATATTTCCACATAAAACCAATGGGGTGGTCTTATGAGCTTCTTGGAAAAAAATCACTAGGGTTGGTCACGTGAAATTGACTATCTCAAATTGTAAAGAAGCACTCTTTAACTTTAAGTTATCATTGCTGTGTTACTTATATGGGCTTAATTTGGCAAAATTTTAAAAAACTTTTCAAAGAAAAGTTAGTATGATTGATAGATTGATCTTGTTTGACTTGTTCATCATGTGATTACAGAGTACTTCTATCTAGAAAGAGGAACCACTCGCAGTTTTTCGTGTGCAAATAATTATTTGAAGGTTAACTTGCAGAAGTAATGTTACAATTTCACAGAAATCTGTGGGACTTAAATACTTTAAGACTTATGTCTAAAGGGGAATACAATACAACAATACCTTCTGGAATATGTACATTTTGATCCTCGAGCTTAATTAAAAAGAGCAAAAGTGTGTTTGAGGGTTTGATCCATCTGTTGGCTTGTCCATGAGTCCATCAGGTGATTACAGAGAGTGCTGGAAATAGAACGACTGGAAGTCGTGTGCAAAGTCGTACCGCTGATATCAAGTATCAGGGCGATCGAGAGGCTACTATAAATTTGTCGCAATGCAAACGTAACTTTCTAAGGGGATGTTCGTCAGGAGTCACATGCACTATGGAATCTATTTTTGGGGCCATACGGAGATACGGAGTCTTTCTCGAGGGCCGCTAATCACTTAACGAATGGAGATTGAATAAGCAGACGTGCCCAATTTGATTATCGCATATCGTGGCTACTATATACTTGTATACGTGAGGATATATGTATACTGGTGGTTACTGGTATGCATAAATATTTACACACATGTCGGCATTCATGGCACTAATGAAACTGCAGTTATAAATTGAGTTTTATGCGCGTTAATTGGCGAAAATCTTTAAACTTGATTATCATTCGGACTCAGTTAACCCCCCTTTCCCGCCAGTTTGCGAATATTTTTTAAGTGTCTTTTGTCTCCGTTGATTTATTAAAACGATCGACTGTCAGGCGATGTAACTGTTTATGGACTTGCGGCGAATGCGGAGAGATAATTATTTGACTTAAGGGCGAATTAAATGAGAGAAAAATGTACCACAGTTATTCAGGATTTAACAACATTCAAAATTGAAAAAGAAATAAATTATGAGCACTTAATTTTTTCAGTGCACAAGGAGAGATCTTCCTGCCGTGCTTTCCTCCCCTTTCCCTCGTTATTCCTCTCTTGTACGCTCCCCCCCTTTAATCTCTCTCACAACAAAAGAAGTGAGCTGAATTTATCAGCTGTTGTATTTCATGCTTGAGAGTGTTTGCCAGCCGGGCGTATGTGTGATTTTAGCAACACGCTGTTGTCACTCTGTGTTTGTTTTTGCCTTTGCTTTTGCTCTGCCGCATTGCTGCTTTGCTGTGCTGCCTGGCTGCCTTGCTGCTATCGCGTCTTCCACTTTAAACTCAAAATAATAAAAAGCAACAAAGCTGTCAACCGAACGTTTCAGTTTGAGTTTAGCCGTCTTCGCAGAAAGTTATACACCTGCGCCGCGCTCTCGCTCGCTCATTTTGGCCGCGTGTTTCTCTCCGTCTCTCCCTCTCTCTCACTCGTTGCAAGATCCCCTCCCCAGCGAAACGGAGAGCTATTTAAAACGCATTCGTGCCCCAACATTGCTCAGTGCTAAGAAAGACACCGTTACAAACAGTTCCGTCTACCGTTAGCCGCCAAGTGCCTCGTTCAACTCAAAATCAACTGTGTTTCTAAATCAAAAATTATGCGCGCCTTTGTTTATTTCAAAATAAAAACCATTTTTGCCTTCCCCACCACAAAAAGAACGCATTTGTGATAAAGAGCCGAATACGAAATTCGAAGGGGAGCGTGAACAACCCATAAATTTATCGAAAATACATAAAAAAAGTTCTCAAAAATAAAAACCCCAACCGAAACCTGCCTCACATTACACGCACACACACACACTCCGAGTTTATTATCCCAACGATAACGTCATCCGCTTTGTCAACAGTATTAAAGTTAATCTGAAAAGTGCTCGAATCTTTTGTTTTCAATCATTATAATTGTAATAAAACAACTAGAAACAAAATTATAAATAATAATACCAACAACAACTGTAGCCAAGGTTGCCGCGACCATTTTTGTTTTTGTTGCTTTCGCCGTGCGGAGGAGCTGTCAACCCAACATTTCTGCCGACGTCGCTGTTGCCGTTACATTTCAGTTGTTGCCATCGCATAAAAGCAAAACAGAGAGCGCCAAAGCGCGGCAGAAACAGCAGAAATTTACATAGCATTGTACACGTTATACAACGCAGCAGCGCGTGCCTCGACTGCCAGTGCAAATCCCAAGACCCCAATCGAAATCGGAGTCCAAATCCTCGAGTCCATCTCTGTAACACCACGAAATTCCTTTTGGCCATAATGAAGCGCCTAATGACCTGGGAGCGTGATCTCGTGGATGCCATGTACGAGTAAGTTGGTAGTGGCACACTCAAGCACACTCACCATATCACACCTAAATTCTAGTGTAGTTGGTAGACATCTTTAAGTTTCTACGAATAACACATGAATCAGTTTCACTGTTGAAAATATTATACAAGTTTTAACAATGTAGCATAATCTCAAAAGAAACCCAAAAAACCCAAAATTCAAAATAATGAATCAGAAAAGTAGCAAAAGTTTTATAGTGGCTATCGCTTTTTAAAAAATTTTTAAAGCCCGAAATATGTAGTGAAACATAAAAAAAGTATACAATACACTGATCGAAAAACTACAAAAATGTATTTTAGATTAAAGGTTATTATTATATTTATTGTATTTTAGTAAGGTAGAATGTTGAAAAACCCAAATTATATACGTTATATTTAGCAGTTTGTATGGCATCACCGGATATCGAAAGTTCTCCACATGATATGCTTTCAAAGTAAAAACTTTTTCGCCGTGTAACGTGTTGGCTAAACGATTTCATTTATCACATGTGGCTCTTAAGTTTATGGACAGGTTTCCAATTGCATTGTTTGAAAGACGAGAAGAAGCAGCACGTGCTTGCCGCCTCAAGAGAAGCACAACAAATGGCCAGAAAACTAGGTTGTTTGCATTGAACTCGGGAGCAGAGTGAACTTGTGACAGAGAGCAAGGCGACGCATCCACATGGGAATGAGTTATAGCAGTGTATTTTACTAAATATATGTGGCATATAGAGTACAGTACGACCAAAAAAAAAAAGCAAAGCAAAACAAAACAAAGGCGTATATAATGAGCATGGCATGGCAACCGAGCTCTTATATTTAAATGCTGCATCAGCTGCTGCTGTCGGCATATAAGAGTGGCACATGTGATTGTGATCCCACGCAGGGGAGCTCTCTTCCTCCCTCTCTCTCTCACACAGGAAGCCGGGTGACCCTGTCTCCCTCACAGCCATCTACACAGAAAAAATTAAGATACGAGCTAAACTTAAAATATTTTATTTTTTGTAACTGAAGGTCTATAGATCATTATATTTAATCCATTTTTCTTTCTGTGTGGGTTTCGCCTCTGGAATTTAAATGCCGGCATTTACCTTTATGAATAAAATGGAGGCCGGTAAGAAATGCTTAACGTGCATTTATTTACCAATTTGGCGATATGCCACAGACAACAAAAAAAACCATTTGGGCTTGCCAAAGGATTTCTACCTGTTTAAAGCCTTAAGATATTCGAGTTCGCTGCACGCTCCTTTGTTTGTTCAATTTATAAAGCTTGCGGTCTATTTGTGTTGGCCGAAATTTATAACTATTAGGTCTTAACCGCCATAGATAAACAACATTCAAAAAATATATCAGCAATTTGCTTATCTGGGGATTTTAAGGTGTTACCGCGAAGAAGGTCAAGGCTTAGGGCTTATGCAAAATCTATTTGATTAAATATTTAATTAAAAAAAATTACCAGCAAAGAGCATAAACTCTTAGCATTGGTAAGCATAATTACTAGAGGCACCAATTGCTTAAACATAAATATCACTTCTTACCACAGATTCAATGGAATTGTATCGTATAAATTTTGAAATTTTTAAAAAAATTCCATTGAACTTATTACTGTTGTGCAGAATGGTTAAACGTTTTTTTAATGTCATTATTACGCAAATACATTTACAAGAAAAATACAAGTAAGCCATTTAGAAAACTCTGCATCTCAGTAAAAGTAAAAGTCGGCAGCCTTGCAATTTATTTCAATGCCATAAATTGGCAATAAATGTTCCACCAATTTTGGAACTTTCAACAATAAAAGCCACTTTCCAGCGCCATAATCTGATGATCGTGTCGCACCTTTTGCGCAGACTGTACACCGGGCATTTTTGGGATGCAGAAAGCGTGTAATCATTAGCTTAACAAGCGGCGCATGCTCATCGTTTCTAGGTTTTTTTATTTTCATTTTTTTTGGCATTTCTTGGGCAACCTTTTTTTGAAAAAAACCTGCTGACAAGACGGCCCGTTTGTCACATGGCCATAATATTTACCCAGTTTATTTCTTGTGTACTCTTCTTGCTATTATTTACAAGTGTGCCGCCGCAGGCCACGATTACGGCAGATAAAAGACATTGCGAATGATAAGGCCCCTCTCCACCGACTGCGCAACCATTAGCACCTGGAATCGAGGTTGTAGCTTCAAGTTGGGCTTGACTTGGGCGCCGGAATTTTTACATATCTCGAGATGTGCCAAATGACTCACTTCAGACACGCTCACCGATCATGACAGACAGGCGATACATCCGAGATACTTTTCCAGTTAATGATGAACATTTCACTCATAACTTAATGTGCAAATATCCGCTGTTTCACATTTTTGCGCTAATATTTATACTGAGACATCTGTTTGGTATTTACTGAGAAAGAGGGAGGAATAAGACGGCTTAATTTCTTTATTTGTACACTAATTGAGATCGCAATTCAAGGTGGAAACTTACTAGACGCCATCGGCGGCAATATCTTAACGAAATGTGGTTGATAAATAGACGTGCTAATTGGTTGCTCAATTTGTTTGCTCTGGTTTACCCAAGACACACGATCGCAGCGTGACTACAAAGCTAATAATATCTCCGCAGGCTCTGAATTTAATGTTTTCGTTTAAGATTTAGCTGGAATAATTCTGCAGATAATGAGGATTATAAACGTTTAGCGATCGGTTGCGAGACACGAGATGGCTTATGGGTTCATCAAATAGGCTTATTGATCAGGGAAATTTTATTTGTGTTATTATTTATAAGCCATTAAAATATTTAAATGATTGTGAGCTAAAACTTTCCAAACTTATGTTGATAAAAACTAGAGACTACCTCCAGAGGTTAAGTCAGTGATTTTTTCGAAAGCCTCTCAAGGTTGGTCCTATCTCAATTCCCAACTAAGTTACTATGATCTTCTCATAAGTTTGTGAAATCTTTTTCTGACTACTTGCTACCCAAAATAACCACGCCGCCTTTGGACTGTCAAACGTTTAGTCATAGTTATCGCCGCCCATATAAGACCGGACATATTTATAAGATTGTATATCTTTACACCGATATCAACACTTGACTACAAATGTGGCGATTACCGGCTCAGATGCGTCACAGCCTTGACGTCACTGGATAATGGTTGATAACAGGGGGCAGTTGTTTTTGGGAAATCTTAGTCGGCTCTGCTTCCCTGTAAGAAATTACTCATGGGTCTTATTGGCTCAGACGGGTTCTTTCCTTCCCTCGGCCAGCAATCTTTTTTTGTCTTGGCTCTTGGTTCTTTTTTTTGGCCAAGATTAGATAGATTACAGTGGGCACTCGAGATAGCAGACCATGGAAATTAACTCCAAGGAGAGCGAACCGTTTTAACCCAAAATTGGTTCATTCAACTTTCGAACGATCTCTATTGGTATTTCCCATGCGGGAAATTCTGGCTATTTTTGAACGAGCAAAGTGCGAGGCGGCGACTGTGGCTATGGCAGCCCGAACCGGTTCATGGGGGATAAGTCAGAGCATATTCTATATGCCGTATATATCTGGCACTGGCGATCTGCGTTTCAAAATTAAATCGAAATCGCCAACTAAGAAAAACAATTCCATACATATAATTGACGCAGAATAACGGAGATAGGGTTCCTGCGTTATAGGTTTTTCTATTCCTATTCCGATTCCAATAAAGCAAATATGTGATCAATTGGTGTTGTGTAAAACTGGGATCCATCAGGTGTGGCATGTGTCAATCGCGGGCAAACACAGTTAATGAGGCAAACAGATAGCCACGTGTGGGTGTCTGTGTGCTCGGGGTATCTGATAAATAGGAACTGGCATTCCAATTGTTTATAGCTACCAGACATACATGCATGTGTAATTAGGTGAAATGAGTAAATGAGGCGGCAGTCCAACGGCAAAAACAACAAGAGGTCGGTCCGCTGTCAGTGAGCGTAGAACATGTATATTGATGAGGGAGGGCGGGTGAGGGGTGGAGGGGGCGGGGGAGCGGGGGAGCGGTACGGGGACTAATATCAACACTGAATTTTGTTTGCAGCGACGAGGGCGAAATTCAATTTGCTCGCCGACAGTTGGCAAAAAGTTGTTCGATCGCGCAGTTCACACACAACCGACACAAAACGTTAACCAAAATAAAAAATAAAAAACTTTGTAAAAATAGAACAAAAGGCGTGAAATTCTACGCGCTTTACAAGTTAATTAACCGGGCTGCCGGCAAAGTGAAAAGTGGCTCAAGTTGAAAGTTTGGCAACCGAGAGCTTAGGAACTCCCTCGAAATGCTGAGATCTCGTTTTTGTGATTTACTGGGCTGTTCGGCACGTCGTCGCCTTCTGCTGAAACATTGTCTGTGCTTTATTTTTATAACAATGACAAACTAGAACAAGAGAAAACGTTTTATCGTGTTTTTTTTTGCCAAAAACAAGCTAAAAAACCAAGAAACACTCACACACACTTCAGTACATTAAATCAATCGCAACCAACAGTATTGCCTTGTTCGCTTGAACAACTCTTGTGATCCCAGAACAATCGATCAAAGGCCCCAAGATGTCTGAGCTGCGTCGCAGTTTCAGTCGACTGTCCATGATCGTCTACCGAGCCACTCATTCCAGCGAACAGTCGTGGCGAGAGGAGCTTCTCAGGTAAATCGCAGGTAGACAAGATCGATCATCGATCGCTGATCAGAAGATCCAAACGAAGATGATCACTTAAGTGCTTAAATGTGTGGTTTATCAAAGTGAGCGTGAAATTTTTGAAACAATAATAACATTATTAGAAAGCTGAAGTGTTCTTGCTAGTTTCTAAAACTGATAAATGGGATAAATTAAAAATTCATCAGTATTATGTTTATGCATATTCGCAATTATTGAAGTAATCAGATAAAACTCCCGCTAACATTTCCTAGCACAATATTCTTTGACAATCCAGTCACGATTCCGGTTCTACAAAGATCGTTTTCTGCAGTCCAAAGATCACTTTCCATAACTTAACGTAGTTTCATAATGGTTTGCGTTTACCTAGTCACCCTTGAAGGTTATTTAAACAGCTGAACTCGCTGCGATCTGAGTACTGTACATAAAAACATGTGTACAACTGTACATAAATACATATTGTACAGATCTATACTATATATGCATCTGCGCACTGCGACTTATAATGTTTAATCGAACGCGGCATAAATATTTGCCTGAAAGGTAAATGGAAATTTGCTCTTTGGCGATACAGCAACCTCTGCTGATATATGCACACAATATCCATTCTATATATAAAGCTTTCTGATCAAAGTTTATATAAAAGCCAAGAAAGGATGTTTTGTTCTCCTCCAATCTTTTGTGTTTCTTTTTCTTTAAAACGAACTGTTCACGATTTCGCTGAGTGGCCAAGTGGCCTGTTGACAACTTTTGGCTTATATATGCAGATTCATAATTATTCTTCCCACTTTTGCCATTTTAATTTTAATTTTGGCAATGCACAAGAAATGAGGAAACATGCAGGTACATTACGTTTTGTAAAGGTGACTCGATGGGTAAATAAATGTATTTACCTTATCGTAACGAGGAGTATTAAGAGGATTACATGGAAACATTGAATCACTGCTGTTTAAGGTTGATGGGGGGGTTCCGGAATTAGTTTGAATTCAAGTCGCCATTCGATTGCGAAACGTACTGTACATTTGTCTGGCTGTCTCAGCTTGATTTATGGACAGCAATTGCAGCACGTTGTCTACAAATACTATATAAATACGTATGGGGTGCCATAAAGTACTCCCCAGAATGCATTTCCTCTGGGCCATAAGAAATAGATCCAAGCCAGATCAATGACGTCAATAGCTGTTGCTATACGAACCAAACCGATCGGTTCTGATTATGATCATGACCATGGTCAACTTATTTGCACCTTCGATATATAGATTTGCAATACCAGATGGCCCAATTGCATTAGCCCGTTAAACAACTTGTTGGCCATTAGCCAGACGATTGAGATACTACTTTGAAATACTAGTGAATTAAATGAAAGGGGCATCACCTCCAGCCCTCCACCTGCTGCCGAGTTCATCTTGTCCAAGGTTAGTTCTGTTTTGCCGTTTTGTTTTCAATTACCTCGATTATCTCACAGGCTGAGCTCTAATTGCAGGCCATAACCCAAGGACCGCTTATCTGGCCTCTGGTCGTTAGATAACCCCCAAAATGTAATAAAACAATGCTAGCTGCCGTTTTCTCACTCACTTCCCTATCTGTGGAAATCTAAAAACAATCAGCTGATATCATGCCAGTTGGGAGTTGAGTTGACGCATTAGTTCATATGTGTCGCCTGTTCCATTGAACTTGTTTTACTTCGCCCCTTCGGCGCCAACCGGTTTTTCCCCCAGATATTGCATTTGGCAAACCAAAATAAAAAAAATACAATAACAAAATCACAAAAACGATTATAAACAATAACAATAACAATGAGGCACTCTGTGTGAGCCGGTTTATTTGCATGAGCCAAACATCAGATTTAAACTAATGAACTCTAATGGCTCTGTTCTCGCCCGGAGTTTTCTACGAATTTTGATTGAGTCTCATCTGGGAGGTATCATTGTTCTGGGAATTTCTCTCACATTTATGTTTTATCGATTTGATTTATTTTTAATGAGGTTGTACATGTACATGTTGTATCACTCATTCCGGTGACGCATTCTGATAATTTCATTACCCCTTTTCGTGAATTTTACAATGCTATAAATTTGATTGATTTCTTTAAAACAATCTTTCTGCTTATCTGTTCAAGTTTAATTGCGCTGGCTAATGTTTTGCAGATTACTCTAACTCATAACAACTCTTAAACAAAGAGTATATTTTTATTTAAATGACACATTTAAAATTTATTGGAAAACAAAATCTTAAATCTTAATAATCAGCAATTGTGATAACTGTAATGATTCAGGTAGATGTGTTATCAAAACAGTGGAAAAATATTAGTTACCTTTAGTATTGCTCATAATTTGGTAAACAACTTTTGTCACTATTTTAATGTTTTAAATATTAGATCATTGTACGACTTTTATAATAGAAACGATGTTTTCCTAATTGATAAATACCTTATAAATTTAACATTCGTATTTCTATAAAAATCAGAAATAACCCAAAAAATCGAATGGGCATGATCGATATCGTACAAATTACCATTCCGAATCCATTCGTCTCAACCTACTCAATTAGTTTCCTATTCCACCATGCCATTAGCTCCTCCTTATCGACACCTCTACCCCTTGAATTTACTGGACTTCACCTCTTCCGAACTACTCAAGCTTCACTTGGAACAATTGATAATTATAATCGCTTTAAAGCTCAGTTCCCCAATGCGTGTGGGGACTTTTGCATACATTCTAGCGGATTTCAGTGCACAAAGCAGAGCGGGCTGATAAAGCGTGTAAATGAAACGAATACGAAATATAAACGAACATGTAAATATCAATGTAAGGCAAAGTGAAACGAAAACTGCAAAAGTCAGCTGCTTGGGGAAGAGCGCCTACAGTTAGCGATTAATACAGTTACTGTCGATCCAGAGAACGGCTTTCGAAGACGAAAACGGTCTTCTCTCAGTACTAATTCGACTACGGTCCCTTAATAAGCTTTCCCTTGGTGTTCTAGTGGATCCCTGGTACTCGTAGTATCAGCAATTAATAATCTAAGAGTGCTCTGTAAAGTGATCTCAGTGATCTCTTGGATTCGTAGTATCAGCAATTAATACAACCCAGACATTCCATGGTGATACCTGTGATATTGTAGTGTCAAAAACTAATTATCGTTGGTTTAAAAAACTCCCAAAACTTTCCAGGGTATTCAAAGTGATCCAGGTGGAGGCGCAACCCTGGAACCCGAAATATCATCAATTGATAATCGCCAAGTGCTCAACATGCTGTTCTTTATCGGCCTGGTGTTTGTAGTGTGCTTTTCGAGCATTTTGCTCCAAGCTATGATTTGGTAAATTAATCAGATACTCGCATAGCCGATAGCTACATATTGGTATTATCGGTGAGAATGGCGGAGACAAACGTCAGTGGTTTTGTGTCTTGTGACTTCCTGTTGTTGCCATCCTTTATCACTCCGAACAAAGGCCGGCTGAAATCGGCATATGGACATAAATATGTGTGCATTGTGCTCGGTTCAGTTCTTCTTCTTATCGATATAGTGGGTGTGTTTTAAAGTTAAACCATCCAAGGTTGAGAAAGTATTTTTAAGTTTTGGACCTTATAAAAATAGCTCTTGATAAATAGTTTTCCTTGCGATTTATTTGTGGGCGTATAAAAGAACTACTTTATATTAATCCAATTGCAGTTGTAAGCTTATTATATGATAAGGAAATGTTCTTTAGACACATAACAGCTTTACAAACAAGAAAGTTCTTATCGAAAATGCAAATAGACTAGTCAAATATAGCTTTTGTGAGCACCTCGAAGGTTGTGTAAATCCGTCCGCAATAGATAAGAGCCGCACTGCAGTTGAAAGCGAAATCCGCAATCGAACTCTTACCCAATCCTAAACGCCCTATTTATGTGCCATATTAATGTGCCAATCTATATCCTCTTGTTCCGTCTTTCAGGTACCGGCAGACACGCTTCAGTTCGCGGCGTGTGCGAAAACGTGTGGTCTTCAAGCACGGCGAGTGCAACGTTGTGCAGGGAAATGTGGCCAAAAGACGGCGTCGTTATCTGCAGGTGAGAGGTGGGCGGTGGGAGTTACGAGGCGTGGCAGTGCGTGGCTATATCTAGTCGACGGCCCACTTGTGTTCGATTCGCGTGTTATATTTAGCCGCCTCTCGCGGGTTTGCATAACGCTAGCCGCAAAACTTTGGCGGCAATTATGTAAATTGATTTGTGCTTCTCACGCGGAATTCCATAATTCGATCTACTCTAGACTGAAATATAAAGAAGCTAAAAATATTTTATAAAAATTCAAAATTAGTTTTTCGTAACTTGGATACCATTATTGGAATAGTAAAATAAAAAATCTTATTGAATTAAATGGTTTATTTCTTATATACCCTTACTGACTTCATATGTTTTCCCTTCCAGGACATTTTCACCACACTGGTTGACGCTCAGTGGCGCTGGACGCTGCTCGTCTTCGCCGCCAGCTTCGTTTTCTCGTGGGCCTTCTTCGGCTTCATCTGGTGGATCATCGCCTACGCGCACAATGACCTGGAGTACACCATCCTCAAGAATCAGTCGCCCGATCTGGTGGCCAACATGACGCACACGGTCTGCGTAACGCAGGTGTCCAACATGATGTCCGCCTTCCTGTACTCCGTGGAAACCCAGACGACGATCGGCTACGGTAATCGCTATGTGACGGAGGAATGCCCGGAGGCGATATTCACCATGTGCATCCAGTGCATCACGGGCGTCTTCATCCAGGCCTTTATGGTGGGCATTGTGTTTGCCAAGCTGTCGCGCCCCAAGAAGCGTGCCCAGACGCTGCTCTTCTCCCGCAATGCTGTGATTTGCCACAGGGATGGAGTTCCGTGCCTGATGTTCCGAGTGGGAGACATGCGCAAGTCTCACATCATCGAGGCCCATGTGCGGGCCCAGATAATCCGGAAGAAGGTGACGAAGGAGGGCGAGGTGCTGCCCTTCTATCAGCAGGAGTTGCACATAGGCGCCGATGGTGGCGAGGATCGGCTGATGTTCATCTGGCCCACGACCATTGTGCACAAGATCGACAGGAACAGTCCGCTGTACATGCTCTCCGCCTCGGATATGCTGAAGGAGCGCTTCGAAGTGGTTGTTATGCTGGGTGAGTTTTACTTCAGTCTTTTTCCAAAGATGTATACTTATGACTTTTGCTTTTCCAGAGGGTGTCATCGAGTCCACGGGCATGACCACGCAGGCCAGGAGCAGCTACCTGCCCTCGGAGGTGCTGTGGGGCCATCGCTTCGTGAATGTGGTGTCCTTCCGCAAGGAGACCGGCGAGTACGAGGTGGACTACACGCTGTTCAACAACACCTACGACGTGGACACGCCGCTGTGCAGCGCCAAGCAGCTGGACGAGCTCAAGTCGGAGTACACGAAGAGCGCCAAGAGCTGTCCCGGCCTGGGTGTGAATCCCTCCTTCGCGGATCGCACACTCTCGGCCAGCCTGTTCCAGCGGATCGCCTCCGCCGCCTCGGTGGATCACCTGGATCCGGCGAGCGATGAGTCGCTGGACTCGGGCCGCCTGCAGATACGCTCCCATTCCATTCCGAACGGCGTGCTGGCCAGCGAGCTGGAGCCGCTGAACAACAACAAGCACGGCGCTTCGTTCACCATGGGCGGTCTGACCATCACGACGACGGCGCCCAGCATCCCCAACCTATCCAGTATTAACGAAAAGACCAACTCCGGCAATTCCATTAACAGCAGCAACTACAGCAATAACAACAGCCTGAGCACGCTGACCGGAGGAGGAGGAGGAGGAAGCGCTGCCAGCGGACCCGGCGGAGGCATCACCATTGTGGCTGGATCCGGGAACAATGGCGGCGGAGGAGGCGGCGGCAGGCACAAATCTAATCCCCGTCGTCTGAGCATCAAGCAGGATCAGCTGCCCATCGATTCCATTTGTTGATATTATTAATTGAGAGGCATCCCTGCCCTGGCCGTCAGTTAAGAACCTGATGTTGTATTCTAGTTAAGCATAGGCTCCCAACTATAATTCTAACTCAAACTAGGCTAAGCGAGATTCCATTGAGAGCTCATCTGTCATAGCCATAGAGCTGCTGCAGCTGTGAACACCCCTCAAAAATCCCCCCTTTTTCCTGCTGAAGTGGAGGCAATCTGATTGTCGACCACCCACCACTAACCCTGAAACGATTGTATATGTGTATATGCTAAGCTGATGAATGATCCACGTTGTTAGCTTTACTTGTATTGAATTTACTATAGTTAAGTTACAAATTGATATTAACGCAAAGTAAGATGTGAGACCCGGAAACCAAAATGCTGCAACTTAGACCACTAGAGAAATGTTTAAACAGCTCACTGAACATGTATATGAATATGAAATTTATGCGAGGACGCAACGGAATTGTGAATTCCCTTTTACCCGATAATTTCTAAATATTACTCACTTCCATTGAGATAGAAAATGTAAATTGTAATCAATAAAACTGTTTCAAAAACAAGAGCTTCAATTATCATAATGAGTGGACAATAAAATTGTATGAGTATGTGAGTGATTGATTGATGAATTTTATTTTTAAGCGTCGCCCAGATTGTGAAAATTAAAGACGGAGAATATACCTTAAGATGAAAAGAAGAAAAACCAACTGATGGTGTTTTATTTGGTCTTTTCAGGTTTTAGAGAGATAGAGATGGAGATATGCAAGCAGCAAAACGGTGGGCGCCACCTAGCACCGATCACATTACGTGCCACGAATATAAAAAGATTAGAGAAATTTGACCTCCCAGTAGAGCCAATAAAAAACATAGTCAGTTGATTTATTTTTGTAGTGGTTTTTCTTTAATTTTGACGTTTTCTTTGTTTAGCTGAGGGAAAGTTTATCATTTTTAAAGCATACAAATTTCTCATATGAAACATACACAAATATATAGCGACATACAAGTACAGGGGATTGGTCAAAGAGTGCCGAGAGATCCTTGCAAGCTTCTTAAAGCCATTCCAGGACTCCAACGAAACACTCTTTTAATCAAAATTTATGTTAATAGAATATGCGAAGGTTTTCTTTTAATGTATTTTATATGTCCGTAGGCGTAGTAGTACAATAGTAGGTAATTAGTTCAATTTAAATTTACAACAAATAATTTCTTTTATTGAAGTTGCGCATTTTTATTGGATTTCGTAGGTTTCGTTTTCGACTTGCAACAATCGACCTCCAATTGTGCGCGAAATTCATTACAACAATTAAAATACATATGCCTATATTAACAATAGATTTTTGTTTCGTTTTCGCATCGGATCTGTTTAAGTTGATATCGTATCTGTATCTGCATTATCATTACGCATAGCTGTAGCTTAGTTTAAAGTTAAACTCTTTATGCTGTAGGACATGTTTAAGAATATTAAATATTAATATCTCTTAATCTCTTATTTACTAAGCCGTTACCAGGACAGTTAAAGGGCCGCCCTAGCCAGAGCAATTCTTTTTGTTTAGATTTTGTTTCCGTTTCTTTCGTTTTTTTTTTTAGTTTTTTCTTTAGTTTCTTTTGCGGTGTGCTAGCACACTCTTAGTTGCTGTAGCCTAGCGCTAGTTGGTTAAATGTTAGCTAAGTTTAAATTATGTATTTACAGATGCTAAGTGCTAGCTCGAAGTGATACGCTATTTTGTGTTATTTGTTGTGTATGGGATTTTGATAAATGCCTCTTATGAATTTAGAACGATTTACAAATATGTACCTCTGTGGTAGATCTCTCACTAGATGATAGCTTACGACTAAGTGTCTTACTAATTCATGAAATGTCCAGCAATATTTTCCAACCTTTACAATCGATTTGTGTGTGTGTTTGTGTGCCTATTATCTATTTTATACATTTTCTCTCTATCCATCTATGTGTTTTCATATTTTACAAGCTAGTATTATAGAGATGTAAACGGTTTCACCATCAAATATTGTTGGACGACGCGTTGATAAGTAACGAGTAATGAGGGGATTTGTTTGTGAATGTGAGTTATTTTCTGATTTACAAATTCAATTCAAGCATATTTGATTACATTCGTTTCGGTTTTGTTTACGTTTCTTTCTGTGCATTTGTCTGTCAGCTTGCGTTTTGCGGGCTCCAAGAATTCATAGTTGAAGAACTGATTTATCACAAGTATGGTTTTTAGTAATTGCAATTAAGTAAAAGGCTTCGCATGCGCTCTCCGGAAGGGGTAACAACTTGCAAGACGAACTCTGGACGAGTTCAAATAATTAATTAATTAAAAAATAAATAACAATCATGCTGACTAAATGAGTAAACCATAAATGGGAGGATTGGTGCGATGAATGAGGCAGCTCCAATGGGCCGACAGCAGCAGGTGCATCAAATGTTGCCAGCAACACGTGGCAGCTAATAGTTCAGTAAAAGAATAACCAAGTCGCCGCTCAGTAGTACAGGTAACTGTTGTTCAACATGTCGTAGCGGTAATCGAACTGTTGCTGCTGCTGCTGTTGCTGCTGCTCGGATCGATGCTGCTGCTCGCGCTGGAAGCTAGTGAACCAACTCTTAGTTGCGGCAATTCGCAACAGGTACTTTCATTCCTTGCGGTGTTGCTGCTGCTGCTGACCTCCCGGCTGCTGTTGCTGCGACTGCAGAAGATGCTGTTGCTGCTGTTGCAGGTGGGGCGGCAACCTCGACTGCTGTTGCTGCTGCTGCTGCGACATGCCACTGCCCACATGTTGCGCCTGCATTCCGTGCTGGCTGTGATGGCCATGCATGGGCGCCTGCGGGGGCACATGGCCATTCAGACTTCCTGCTCCAGCCGACGCAACTGCGTTGGAGGCAGCCGTGGCCGTGCTGTTGCCCTCGGACTTTTCACGGGGCAGCAAATAAACGGAGCCATCGGCAGCCTGCTGCAGACTGTAGTCCGCCGGCGAGCAGGGATTGCCCTCGGGATCCCGCAGATACTGCAAAATAAAGATATTATTAGTTTATGATCTGACATATAAATATATTTAAAATAATGGAATATTAATATCTTGCACCCACCTGGAAGACATGACGATGCAGCATTGCAAACTTGTTCGAGATGCGCTTCCGCTCGCCCTCCAAATGATCGCGGTCCTGATTGAGCTGCGTTTTGCGCTTGACCACCGCGTTAACCTCGTCCTCGAGGGTCAGAATCTGGTCCAGCTTGCGTTTGCGACAATTCTGGGCAGCCACCTTGTTCTTTCCACGGCGGCGAATGTCGCGGATCAGCGACAACTGATTCTCGCTTAGGTCGTACTTAGACAATCGCTCGTTGAACTCGTCCATGGGCAGATTGATAATGTCCTGCACTGAAATCGGGATGTTCAGCGATCGAGCACGCTTCTCATCGCGTGTCAGATGCTCGTCCTCCAGGCTGCTGCTACTTCCACCGGCACTGCTACTGCTGCCGCCGGCACTCGTTCCCTTCGAAGCTGTCTTAGTGGCCACCAGGGGCTTCTTATCGCGAGCCTGGGGTCTGGGCAGCGAGCCACTTCCCTGGGGCAGCGAGTAGGTGTGATTTAGTTGCACCAAATCCTGCGAAGTCCTCGGCGATGGTCGTACTGTATAGTCCCCGGAAAAGCTACTTCCGCTGGCTCCCATGCCGTAGGCCTGGTGATGATGGTAGTCTTTAGTTAGAGCGGGTCCCATCGCTCCTGGCTCGCTGATGCCACCGCTGGCCATTCCCGACGAGGCGTAGCCAGCATCGTACTCGTACTTGATGCTTTGCGATTGGGCTGCAGTAGCAGTTGTTGGGGGAACTGTGGGTGGCAGGGCCGACGGGGTCTGCTTATGGGGATCCCTCTTGCCGTACAGCTGATGCTTCTTTTGCGCCACCGGCGGCTGACGCGTGGCGGTGCTCAGCCGCGAATTGTTGTTGTAGCTAAAGTCGTAGGGGCCGCCGTACTTGCCCTGATGATAGTCCTGGGCGGAGTCACTGCCCTCGCCCCACTCGCCGTCGGAAAGGGACGGCACTCGCTCCGAACCCATCGAACTGACAGCACTGTCGCTGGACGCGTCCAGGCGATCCGCACCGCCTTGTGCTCCTGCACCGCCGCTGGCCAGTAGATCGGCGGTCATGCCCGCTGCTCCAGTGCCCACAGCCGAGCCACTCATTGGGCCCACGCCGCCAGCTGCTCCGTTGGCCTGGTTACCGTGCGGATTTCCCGCCCCGAGTTGAGCCGAGCTGCCGGAGCCGTTGCTGACATGTCCACTGCTGGGCAAGCCCAGAACCGAGGAGTTGTTGCTGGTGCTGTTGTCCACCATGCGACAAAAGCCTGCAAGAAGAGTGGGAGAAAGTGCATTTAGTATAGTTTAATAAATAAAAGAATAATTCTATTACGCTATCTTTTTAACAAGTAGCTAAGCAAAATCCCGTCAAGTACGAAATAATCTTTGTAAACTCATTAGCGAATAAAAAATACCCCCTCCTAACTTAACAAGTGTTCAATTGTGCTATCGGCTTATTGGTATTATCGCACGAATGGAAAATTCATACCACTAAGCACTAAATTTGATGATGTATTGCAATATAAGACTAATCTACTCTCGCAACTAATCAAAAACGAACTAGTTCTCCAACGGGTGCTGCTAATTTTTTGGCTGACCCACTTCACGTAGACGGGGTTTATTAGAGATTCGTCGTCCTTATCGCGAGGCACGTCTTGAATCACTCGCAGCTTCGATTATTCAGCACAAATTTACGACTAGCATTCCGCTGGACGTTCGAAACGAGGAGAAGTACTAAAAAACTGTGCAGTCATTTTCCATATTTCACTGGCACTTATCTTATCGGGCGATAAGGAATTGTGAGTGTGCGAGGAGCAGCTCGTGTGCGTCTCCCACTTTTTCCGCTGTTTCGCAAATACCTGACCACATTTCCACATCTTTCTGGGCCTCTGCGATGATAAGAAGGAGTCAGATCTGCTCGCTATATCTAATCACAGTGCGCAGGGAGATTAAAAACCGAAACGACACGCCCAAGGGGCATATTTTTGGGGTCTCATCAAAAGCACATAATCTCCATGTGCAATCTCACATTATTGCGCGCCTGCAGTTAATTAGTCAAATCAATTCGTAAGCTGATTGGAGCAAGCTCTCATGTATATATACCCTCTGTGAGCAAGGTCAAAGCTTAAACCATAAACATTGATGACTTGACAAAATGCGATACTTTGTATGAGCACGAAGTGTATATAAGTACGGGGAACGCTCTCTATAATGAAAACTCTCTTAAATAACTAAGCGAATCTGTTATAAATTATTGACTGTATTATTATAAATGAAGATAACATTAATCTTTGCTTTAAATTTTAATTATAAGTACTTTCCTAGTCATCATGAACTGGGATGTGTTGTTATTAGTGACGATAGATAGAAGATTTGATTTTAATTTGAAGATTTAAAGTACGGATTTTAACTCAACTAATTTATGAGTTCCCCATATCGATAGTGCACTGTAACCGCACAGGAGAGTTATCAGCGACGAATTGAACGCAAAGACATAACGGAAACCATAAAGATAACCGTTAAAGCCAGTGACACGTTTCATGATGTGCAGAAAAAAAAGTATGTAAAAATAATACGAAAATCCAAATTGAGATCGTCTTTGTTTCGCTGAAACGTAACCCACTTACGATATACTTTTCGTGCTGAAGAACTCCACACCAACCCCTTAGAATTCGCGGATATTAGCAACTATTCATTTGCCTCTCCTCTATGCTCGTTGAGCTTTTTTTTTTTTAACGTTATTGTTTCGAAAAGCGATGACTCAGCAGTTTAAAAATAGTAAACAGCAAACAGGCGGGCAAATAATAAAAAAAAAACTTGCTGAGCGGGCATTAGGCAGCGGGAGAGAGGGCGGGTGAGAGGGAGCGGTGTATAGAAACCGCTCGAGAGAGAGAACGTTCCGCTGATATCAGAATCAGAAACAGCAACAAAGATCGCCGTGCGGCATGACTAATGAAAAAATTGGTACGCGGTCACAAGTAAAATTTTAGAGGGCTTTCGCTCTTTTTTTGGCAAGGGGGCACCGAAAATAAAACCACCCCCCATCGGATCCAGAGCACTTTATCTATTTCTCTGATCACTCTCACCTGTTGAATTGCTTTCACCGTTTTTGGGATGCTGCTGAAAGGCTAAATCGAATCCACAGAGCGAACTGATGAGTGCATATATTTCAGCTATATTCTACACTGCTGGCAAATGCGTCACTGTTTTATCAAATTGATTATGCTAATTACATTAAGTATACGGCACGTTGCGCGCTGTGATATTTTTCTATATACGTATGGATGGTACATATAAGTATATTTTTTAATGGTCTTTCGAGTCGCGTCGGTTCTAATATTTACTTTACTATCGTATTCGATTGTTCGTGTTCGACTGATTTGCCTTTGCCTCGCGCTCTGTTCTTTTCGCTTTGCTTTTCGCCCTGCCTCTTGAGTGAGTGGTTTTGTTATTTTTGCTTTTTTTTTTTTGTCGCCCCAAGTGAGTGGCAATCGCGAAACCTGAGCGCCCTCTCTCTCCTACCCCCGATCAGTCAGCCAAACTCTGAACTAATTGTACGAATTTTGTATGCTAATCGCGCAAGAACGATAAACAGTAAAAAAGCTCGCCAGGTGAGTGGAATGAGTGCTCGAGTGACTATTTTCTGTCGCTGCTTGCGCACGCGCTTTTTTCGCTCTGTTCTGAGTCGTTCAGGGCTCTGAGTCAAAGCTCTCGGGTTGAGTGGCTATAGCAATAGTGGGTGGAGAGTCCGCCGACGATGCGCATTCCACTTAACGGATCCAAAGCTTATTATTAATTTAACAGAACTTTTGGGCAAACGGAAAGCTCGGCACTGAGAAAAATTAATCGTAAGTTGAGTTTTTACTAAATTTAATAAATGTTTCTACAGAATTTCTTTGTAAAAAGCTAACCAATGTCTAAAATATTTTTGTATAACTTAATTTAAAAAAATGTTGTTTAAAAAGTTAGTAAATCCTAGCAAAGGCTAACCTATCTTGGCTTAAAATAAAAATTTAAAATCACAAGAACTTACTCTCATTCATGTCCATCAAGTGCAGATCCTCGTCGGTGAAAATGGAGTTGATGAAGCCATCCGTCTGGTTAATGTCGGAAGAAGTGTTCTAGATTATGATAAGAAAAGCGTTATAAAAGGCTGAAATGCTAGTTAAAGTCTAAACTACTCACCCCGTAGTACATAAGGTCGTGCTCCACCTTGTAGGCGGCGGCAGCAGCGGCTGCCCCATCGGCCTCGTGGCTGGAATTGGTCAGATGCATGCTCGAGCTGACTGCCGAGCCAAGATTGTGACCATAGTGGGGCTGGCCGGTGGGGCAGATGTCGCCCAAGGCCGCGTTCGGGTGGTGCAACATGGCCGCGTGGTGCGGTGGCGGCGGTGGTGGTGGCTGCAGGGGAGCAGCGGCGCCACTGCCATACTGGCCATGCTGGCCAGGAGCGGGACCAGCAGCTCCGTTCGAGGGACTCGCCTGGTAGGAGTAGCCCGGATAGTGGTGCGGATACGGCGACATATCCGAGACGCCGCCCACCATGCTGGGAATCGGACTGAAGTAGGTGGCAAAGTCCTGAAGACGCTCCATCGAAACGCTGCGATTCAGACGCGGCATGCGGCCCTGCAAGTGGAGAAGACAAAGAGACATTGATTAATTCGGCGCTCGTCGCTTAGCCGCGTTGATGTATTAACAAGGTGAGAAGGGTTCGGAATTACGAAACTTATAACTCAATAACCGATCAATCATCCGCCGGGGGAATTCTCTAGAAACGCGGCCAGACAATAAACCGAATTCAAATTGCGCTACAAGTAACAATCTCCTGGCTGTCAGAGTCTCAGACTCAAAACTCCGACTTCCACTTCGACTTGGAATCTCTGTGTAAGCCAAAAAACGTGCACAATGTATCGGTCTGGCGATTTGACTGCCAGATCGATCAATGTGGAATTGAAATGAAATTCGTATCTTTCAAATTGACAAGTGCTCGGGGTTCGCAGCTCAGCCAGTGGTCTTGGCCAGTTTTATTTTCGTTTTTATTTCTGTTTTCCTAAGACTCCTCTGTAAGCTGGGCTCTGTAAGTCTTGGCATCTGGGGCTGACGGATGGCCGGGGATCGTGAGACGACTACTACGCCTTCATTAGGCCGCCTTTTGTTATTGTTAATTACCGGTGGGTTTATTTATTTATTCAACTAATTCCGCGCCCAGAGCGTGGGCGAATGGCAGAGGTATTATATTACTCCTTCCCCCCGAAAGGCACTACTCACACTCCAATAATAATATTCCTCGAACTGCGCGATCCTTTATCGATTCCTTTGCGGCACCAATTTGTTTTTAATGCTAAATGTGCAATTAAGATCTTTCAGAGATGAGATCCAAACCACCTATATCTGAATGCGGCTGACGTTGACGCTGATGCTGATGCACTTTGACACTGACATTGCCGATACGGATCGAAGGCGAGAGAAAGAAACGAAAATTCCGACAAAAGAATTCTGGATTCTGGATCCCGGATCGAACTCCTTGCGCGTTGACGTTGAGTTGTCGTTTGACCAGCACCAACTGACTGACTGACGGAATGACAGTAGCCAAGGCGACTCACACAGATACTCGGAGATGGATGCACTGCCGATGGTGTGAGTGCGGGCTGAACAAACAACCTGTATCTCGCCATGCGCATGTGTATCTAATGAATGCCTCAACACGCTCCTGAACGCAAACAGGTAAGACCAAACCGGCAGGTAGGAGCCATCGACGAGCATTGGGCGTTCACTTCGGCCAGTTGCAGTCGCTCTGTATCTGTATCTGCAGCGCTATATCTTTGTATCTGTGAGTGCGCAACGCGCATGTGTAATTTGAATTGTCACTGTCTTGTCATTAACTTCTGGTGTTGGCCATTGTTTGTTACGCTTCACACGCAAACAAATCCAACCGCCAACTTAGACACGGTAGCCGATCTCCTTGCACACATGTATCGATCTGGAGATTTTCTAGGGGGTTTTGTGTGCCCGAGAATCTATTCTTTGGAACCTTTAATTCAACCTCAACCGTTACAGAGATGGAGAAATGGTAGGAAGGTGCATTAGATTGCATATTTTATAGGGGAATTACTATCATTTAAGAGTATTTCATTATTACCGATCCCATTAACGGTTGTCATGTAGGTTCCGCTAGATTAAGGTTTTAATCGAAGCTAGCTTTTAAAATATCAACTTCTAATTCCTTTAAGTGTTCTAATACCTATTCATAAATAACTATTTTTTTAATTAACCATAGACTACCTCAAAGCGCATTGATCATTTGTATACCAAACATGTAGCAAATGTGTTAGCAATTAATTTCATGGAAGGCAATTCTTCAACAAACAATGTATGAAATCTATTTTTACATGAACTTGAATTTAGGGGAATCCAAAACAAACAGCTACAAGTGCATTTAGTACGAAAAATATATTTTTAATTCAACGACTTGAAGCTTTCCCAAAATCGTTGTTTAATCTCCAAAACAAGCACATTATTTTCGATATTTGCTGAACATATTTCTCCGAAATTCCCAATCCATCAACGGCGAAACGGGAATCACCGACTTGGTCTACTATATTCTATGGCTTATACTTAGTCCCTGTTGCCAACGGCCTGCAAATCCCCTCAAGTCCCCAGCCATCACACCTGAGCGGTAGTTTCGTGTGTTTTTTGTCATTAACTTGATTTATGTGTGTGCACAAATCGAGTCCCATGACAGCCGCAGTCTGAGTTCCTCAGTTCGAGTCGCAACTTAAGCCTCCGCAGCCATCAAACTGTTTACATAAATTGAATTAAAATCGTACGGCAAAAAATCGGGGGAAAAAACTACAGCCAAGAAAAACAACGAAGCGAGGCAAAGCAAAACAGAGATGGATGCTGTAAAATAATTAATAAAGTTTTTTTTGCGCTCGCTCTGCGCTGATTTTTCAGCGTTAAGCTTTTTGCAAATATTTAAAATTCACATAATTAAAGCCGAGTGCAGGGCGATTAGGGGGAAATCGGGGGAAGGAGAGGGGGCGAGGGGCAGTGGCAAGGGACGGACATTAAAAGATAAATTTTTTTGTAATTCGCGCGCGCTAAATGGGGATTTAATTGCAGGGGCTACCGCCGAGCGCGGCTCAAAAGATGCAATCAAGCTGCGAGGGGAAATTGGAGGGCAGGCACCGCCGCAAAGTGCCACCGAATTCAATAAACACTTCGGCCCCATGCGGAAAAGTCAAGTGGCGCATTGCAAGCGACACAAAAAAACAAAGGCTCCGAGCAAAAAGTCAACAGCAAAGTGTCCGTAATGAACGCAGGCGCCTCCCTTCCACGGCTTCGGATCCCCGCCTTACACTCGGTGCCTCAAGAGCTTAGCTCAGTGATTGCAATTAGCAGGAGATACACACAGAAATATATACATTTTTATTGGATTTATATCTCGAATATATCAAGCATAAAGTCACTATTTTATAATAAAACTTTGTGGTATCATCTTATCCTATATATTTCTCTGTGTGTAGAGATAACGACACCTGAGGACAGGTAGTCACAGCCCAGAGACGCATCATCAATGAATGCAAATGGCAAATTAAATGTGATCAGGAAGTTGCATAATGATTATTCGCACTCGGATCAAGAAAAGAAGTGCTGGAAAAACAAAGCTTAAAGCCGCCTAATGACACTTTCCGTTTAACGCTACGCAAAATCCCCCCAGAGAGTCGGCAAAGGATTTAGCCGACAGTCTCGTTTCAGAGGAATCCTGCGAATAACCGATCATCTGGCTCATTAAATGGCTTTGGCAAGTGCCGAGCCGGCAACCCGCTGGCATTCACAAAAACTGTAAATCTGAACGGACCACATCAAACACGCCGGACTAAGCCTAATCCACCAACTCAGGCTGACCGCTGTGGTTTTCCTTTTTGGGTGAGGTGCTATATTCGGTTTATGAGTTTACTACCGGGGAAAAGACTTTACAGTAATTGCCGGTGACTTCGTGACTGCTTCGCCTTTATGGTGCTCTCTCTTTTGTCAAATGTATCGTCTCTTTTTCGAAAGAGCAGGCAGGTCAAAGGTTGAGCACAGGTTTGGGTTTCATTCAGAAAACACTTGTGGTGGATTAGTTTTATTTGCTCGGAAGAGTAGAGCTTAAGTTGTTGTGACAAAACATCAATAAAACATGGTAAAATATATTAAAATTTCTACAAAATGTATTTTATTCCACCTCAAAGAAAATAAATGTCTTAAAAATTAACAATAACAGGAAAATATTTAAATTTTTTAAAAGTTACTTCTTTCTAGTGAAATCCAGCCCAATCATGAATAACAAAGTAATACCAAAAGGCACAAAACAAGATCAGAAATAACGAAAACAACTGCTAAGTAAACACACAGAGAGTAAGAGAGAAACGGGTTAAGAAGAATCTTTAGTAAACTTAAAAAAAACTGAAGCGCAGCTCAGTCGAGGTATAAAAACAATATGGGAGACCGTAGCTTGTACCTTAAATACAAACACCGTCTAGATCTGTATGTATGTCTATTATTTTAACGCTGCTCGCATTCGCCTCACGATCATAATTTTGTTGCTCTTTCCGTACATTTTTGATGAGCAGTTACAACAAAAGCTGAAAAATAATAATACAAAAAAAAGTCCGACAAAAAGCGAGTGAAGAATGAAGAGTTCAGGAAAGAGAGGCTCAGAAGACTGGGGACTTGATTGACGAACTTGTGGCTGGAAACGGAATAAAAGCGTCTGACTTTTAGGGTGGGAGGGACAATGGGGGCAAGGTGGAAGGCATGTACAACCAGATTTGAAGCTTTGTACAAACAGCAAACCCCACGGCAACAACAGCGACTCTTGAAGAGAGCAGCCCCAAGATCAAGTGCTTGAGAACACCCCACGAGGGAGGAACTGGAGGCCGGGGGAAAAGGCCAGGCCACGTGAAGAACCAGAAGAAATGGAAGGCAGATCACGAAGAAGGAAAAAGCCGAACAGTGAAAAGAGCCACTCCAAAACGAGGAGAAGCAGCACAAGAATAACGAAAGCGACGTACGAATGATCCTTGAATGATTACATATGTACATTTATAGCACTACGTATACAGCTGGGGTAAAAATATAAGAGTCTTACTAAATAAAATTTGGATAATAAATTAAGAAAGCCGACTTCCTTTAAAACCTTTGTTATTTATCTAAAAACATTGAAAAAAAAAATTAAAAATAAAAAATAATACATCTTTAAAACAGAACCTAAACTCTCATTTTAAAACCCTATTTTTTTGACCCCAGCTGTACACACTCGCGCTTTGTAGGGTATGTATGTACATGTGTACCCATGTAAGTATGTGGAGCGCTCGACGGATGGCAGCACTTGAACCGAGCATCCGCATCAAATTATAAATAAATATACCTTTTTTGTCTGTGAGGAGGATTACGATCGATGCACACATACCTGGTGATGGCCATGATGGAATCCGCCGGCAGCTGGCTGCCTCTGGAAGGCGCTGCCCGTGCCGCTGCCCACGCCCACTCCGACGCCGACGCCCACGCCGACTCCACCACCGTAGTTGGCCTGCTGCACCGCTCGCTGGTGGGCGGCAGCTGCAGCAGCAGCGTGGTGGGCATGGGCGTGGTGCATTGTCGCATGGTGGTGGCTATGGGGATGAGCATGGGGATGGCCGTGGTGCGGATGGGGGTGGTGGTAGGGCGGAGCCGTGGATTGCAACATCTCGTCTAGCTCCTTCTTGGCGTCCTCATCTAAGTCAAACAGGGGCGAGCCCACAGAGTTCTGGAGGTCCTCGAAGTCGCACACCGAGAAGCTATCTTCGTCAGCCTTCTCCGGATCGTTGTCCTTGTTCTCCGCACCGATTCTACGCTGCTTGCTGGGAACTCCTTCGGCACCGAGGAAATCCTCACCAGTCTCCGATACAATCCGTTGGGCTTGGTTCTCGTTCAAAGCAGCAGCTGCCTGCGAGGTGGAGGCTACCGGATCGTTGGATAACTGGGAGATTGGAGAGAAATCCATAAGGCATTGCCTAAAGACTAGATGGGACATTGGACTTACCTCGTCTTCGAGCGGGAATTCAGAGAGCTTGAGTACGTCGTTCAACAACTCATCCAGGGGCAAGCGTATGTATTCACCTGAGGAAATGGAACAAAGAAATTGTGTGTTAAAAAAGATTTCTTAAATATTTATTTGCAAATCATTTTATCTAAGTTCTGGTTTAAAGTTCAAGAAATACACCGTTGATTTTGAATTGAACATTGCTAATATTGTGATACTTTTCAATGTTCCCCTTCAGTGGTTTATATTGTGTGTGCATTATTATTCTTTTTATAATTTTAAGAAACTATTGTTTGTTAAATTATTTATTTTAAGACTAGCTTTGGGAATATAAAAAAATCCCCTTATTCACTACCAAGAATCGTTTCTTTTCAGCATAATTATTTTGTAAACAACGATACGATCTTTTGATCGCCCAGAATATTTATAGTAAATAAACTGCATTCACCTTGGGTAAGAGTTCCCCAAGAGTCTAGATCATTGTTTCCCTATCGTAGCGTATAAAATATAGGAAAATATTTTGATCATTTGAATAGTGCTGCTGGCTTTCTCTTTAGAAAATCCCACTCATGCTTGAAACTCCCCAGGGAGTGATCAATTTTCTGCTACAAAAACAAGGCAAGGTAGAAGGCAAACAAGGAGCGTCCCAAACAGTAGCACTTTCCTGTGGGAGAGTGAGTTCCAAAGATCAGCGGAGAGATCACAGAGTGGACAGTAACTAGAGTCAGTCAAGCTGCGGTGATCATTAATCATAATCATAAAAACGTGATCTCTGGGAGATCTCCTTCACTCAAGCCGTCTGACGGAAGCAGCTGAAAAATATTGCAATAAATGAACGATTTCCCAAGCTCCCTGCGGTCTCACCCCCATCTCCTCCTAATTGATGATCGGTTTTGACAGCTCCGAGATATCTAAACTAAACACAAACTAAACTCGAGGCACAACAATAAGAAAGCTTCCCTCAAGTATATCGCTTACAATTGACTCGCAGACAATTGATTCCTGGTCAAATATTGATGGCGACCAAATATTTGCATTGGAAATTCCCGGGAAAATCCGAGTCAAGAACTGAGTGGGGGTATTCGACATTATCAGAAAATTACTACTTAACATCGACTCGAGTTCCACGAAGAGGAAAACTCCGACCCAAACGTGGGCAAACATCTAGATAAAGCCAAAACGAAAACCCGAAAAAATAAAGGCTGAAAAGAGGGCGCAACTTGGTCGAGAGATCGGGTGAGAGAAAGAGGGAGAGACGGGGACTCAAGTGGTGTGACGATGACGACCTTTGCCGGGGCACTTGAGTCGGGTCAAAAAATTAGAATAAACATCGCAGATGGAACAGTTCGGTTCTCTGGGCCCGGCCAACACAGTTCTACCAAATGCTTTGTTATTCTTACGATTGGTTACAAAACACATTCCCCCCTTCTGCTTTTCCAATTTCCATCGCAACCATTTTGGGCCAGTTGTGTTCTCTTCTGTTCTGGCCATGTTTTTTTTTCGGCTTGCTGGCGTATAGCCTGTTATTTTAGGGTTCTCCCTTCTTTGCTTAATTTTTTTTTTTGGTAACAGTTCGTGGTCTGTTAATTTTGGTATGCGTTCGTGTGGGTTTCGAATTGTTTACTTATCGTTTTTGGTCTTTGGGCTGGTTGATTGTCTCTCGTTTCGTGGGTTTCCAGCTCGCATTGTGGCCGAAACGACAACGAAAATATTATTCGATTTGGGTTCGTGTGCAGGGCTTTGTTTTGTCGCCCAGTTGGTCAGGAGCAACTGTCAACTGTCACCAGCAATTAGGCGACAAGGCTCAAAAGAGGCGTTGATGGGGCCAACAATTGTTTGACCGTTTTGAAGGTAGGAGTAGTCAAATTTTTGGTTACCTTTCAGCTTGCTCGGAAGGAAGGAAGGAAGGAATATTGTGGGGGAGTCGCGTAATGGAGCCGCTAATGGGGTTGATTGAGCACTAAACACCGACGGCTACTTAATATTTTCTCAGGGGTGACCACAAGTGGATTTTGGGCCGGTATTGGGGTGGTGTACACTTATGTATCGCTGTTTACATAGATTATAGGTGTAATCGAAGATTTGAATAAGGCCTAACTTGAATCAATGATGTTGTTTTTAGTGAAGACTGAGATAAACACTTTTTGGGGAATTATTGTACCCAATAAAAGAAAAAATGATATTATGGTGGTAACTAATAGGACTTTGGCAGACCAATTAGTAAGAAGAACAGAAACTCACGCACAAAGAGTTGAACCCAATAAAAATAAACTCATCCTAACCCTTCATAAGTTCAGCCTAATATTTTCTTCTCCTTCAACAATAAATATTCCATATTTTAGCTTTTGGGCCCCACGTTGGGCGCCAGGTTTTTGTTTTACTGAACTCGTACTACGTCTTAAAATTCAGTTACATCTTCCACGCTAACAATAAAACATTACGAACCTTTGTTAGTTCAAGGGATGCTGCAATGATGACGCAGTGGATATCTGTGAAATATTCGTGTTTATAATCCAAGAAACACAAACGCCTAAAGAGCCAAAGTCAAATGTGTCTTGACTGTTTTGGTTTTTTTCGCCGATTGTCGTACAGAGATCGTTGTAGTTGTCTTTTGTGAACAGATTGAACACAAATTGTTGCAATAAAGCGCTGATTGTTGTTGATATTTGGCCAAACACTTTGACAATTATGTAACGTTTTGACAGCCAAAATGTTGCAGAATCAACAATGGCGTGCCGACTAAAAACAGGCAAAGCAAAAGCAATCCAATCGCAACTCCGATATTGCCGTTTCCGTTGCAGACAGACCTTTATTGTCTTGTCTTTATTTTGTTGTTTTTTTGTGTTTTGCACAATTGGATTGTATGTGTGCAAAATGGGTTTAAGTTATTTTGCAATGCCTTTGGTTATTGTAGGGGGCTTTTTTTAGAATCGCACAATGGTCACTTGAGTATGGAGCTTGGTATGTATTTTTGATTTGCTAACTTTCACTTTTTTTTTCGTATATTTCTTTTGCACAAATGCAGGGACGCGTAATAGTTTAAAATTTTGTTAATGTTTGACACAGTTTGATGATTTCTTCTTCGTAGAGAATTTATCCAATCATCTAATTGGCATAAAAAAGAGCCGAAACACTTGACTTGGCCAGAACGAGCGATTTGAACTGTCGGATTCGGAATGCCGCGTCACCTTGCCGGGCTCACAAAGTTGTTAACGAATTTTCGCCGGAGCAGAGTCCTTTTTTCTTGTCCACGCCCACGAACTCGGTGGCGTTATTTCTTCTGATATTTTATTTTACCCTTATTCGATTTTCTGCGCGCGCGTCAAGCGTCCAACGTTTCTCGAGCGTTTATAAAAATTCAAATACGATTCTAAAACGCTGCTCGAGCCTCTGCCGCGGTCGCTGCTCCGCCATGGCAGTCGACGTCGACGGCGGCAGAGGCGCAAGAGAAATGGCGCTCTCAAGTCGGGGCTAAGAGCGTGCGTGCGAGTGAGACAACCGTATGAACTTCCTCCCCGTTTTGAGCTGCCTTTGTTCATGCGCACTCCGTTTGCTTGTGTGTTTGTGAGCAAGGGGCGGAGCTTGGAGTTCAGCTTGGGCTGCTTGCGATTGTGTGTGTTACTGCCTGTATTTCGAGTTTGTACTTTTGCTTTTGGCCGCTTCAATATGGACGCTTTGTTTAAGCCCCAAGTCTCCCACAAAAAAGTTAAAACTGGTTCTCTTGTTCTTATTCCCAGCATGTGCATGTTCCCCAGCTTGAGAGAGTGTGTGTGCCTGTGAGCCACGAAGAGGAAGAAAAACAATCTAATCAAGTAATTTAAACAGTCAACAGCAATAAAAACTGCTTAAATTTGCATAGCTAAGATGCTTGTGGACGCAAAAAAGTCTTTAAGAAGCTAGCGACTTATAGTTAACCTAAAATCTTGGATTCTTAAAAAAAAGTATATCATAGTTTAACTTAGTAAAAATCAATTACAAATTTATTAAATCATTTGAAACAAAAAAAAAATAAGAAAAAAATCCAACACAAAAATTTAAACAATACCCCAAAAATATTAACCCTTTGGAATCTTCAACATCTGCTGCCTAAATAGAGCTCTTGAAATTCTCCCAGTCGTAAAGCCAGTACACTTCCCTTGTCCCGATACTTCTTCAAGTTCAGCTGCAGCTCCTCCATCGCTTTTATTTGTTTGGTCAGCTCCGAGGTTCGCGTGTTCAGGTCATTCCTAATTTCCACAGTTTCGGCTATCCACCAGTTTTGGACTTTTGCCAGCTGCTGTCGCATCTGCAGCTCAAAACCGCTGACAGTTTGCTCCGCTCCCGCCCGCAGTTGTTGCCGCAAGTGCCTGGAGTACTGGTTCTTGAAGCTTCGCTCTTGAGCGGCTGGCGTCCAACTGAGCAGCTCGTACAGGTACATGGATCCCACGAGGCTTCCGAGGACCAAGACTGTTAGCCAGCTAACCGAACGAACAGCCAGGCCACTCAGCAAAAGGGTTCCAATGCTACCTTCGGACTTTACCAAAGATGCAATCATCTGCAAATGATTTTGGTGAATTAAAGGAGCCGCAGGCGGCGTCTCTTTGTGCCCATTGAGTAACTTTCGATTCTGGAAGGGATTGCTGGGCAGTAATAGTTTTTCCCGGAGGCGATGCCAAAGGGCTGCCATGCCCCAGGAAAACCGAAACCTTAGATCTGGCTGAAAGGCACCCATAAGAGACTGACAGTCCACGCCGTAGATGAGTTGCCAACTTAGGGTTTCTTCGCAGGGTTGACCCTGGAATTCGTTCTCCAATTGGCAAAGTCTTAATTGCAGGAGTAATGAGAGATGTTCCAATACTTGATCTTTGAGTAGGACATCCAAATGGGCACTCAAAGCCCGCTGGTAGTGGGCAAGTTGCCTTGGTACTTGTGGGTGAAACGGGTGCGAAAAGGATTGCACAGCCGAGGGTATAATTCTGGTGATCTGCTCTTTTAAAACCCACTGGCCCACACCTACAGTCAGTCCACACAGCTCTTGAGATCGAATGGCAAGCGCTTCGTTTTGGGCTTCTATTTGTCTTTCTCGATCGTCCATCTCGACGTATAAGTCTGTTCTTCTCTCCCCGTTTTCCTTCATCAATTGACTGACTTTGGCTATAAGAGGACTTATTAAAGATGCTTCCAACTGGGTCAAAATCTCCTGGGCACTCAGCAAATGTTGCCCAAACTTGGTCTTTAAAGCGGAATCGGCTAGGCAATTTAGGAAATCATTTTCAAATCGCTGGAACTCCAGATATCGCTCCTGTGTTTGGGGCGTGGGATTCTTATTGCAACCGTTTCTTAGTTTTAAAGCCTCCAAAGCTGAGACATGATATATCCTTTTCTTGGCTTGCTCCTCATTGGAATAAACCCCTAATTCGTCTATCAAAAGCTTAAGGCAGCGTTCCACATGCTGATCCTTAACCTGCTGCTCCATTCCCGGTTCCTGACTGCTGGCCACATCCCATCGATTGTTGAGTATAAAGAGATTTGGACGCGAGAGTTTCGAGGCCACCTCCTTGAAGAATTGCCGTTCCACGCGGGAAACTGTGGACTCGGCGTTGAGCACTAGGATGAAAACATCCGCATCCATGCAATAGCTATCCAGGCAGTCGTCCAATTGAGCTGTAACATCCACACCGGGTGTGTCCATCAAAACCACATCGTAATCCAAGAGGGAGCAGCGACTCCTGGGCATGTTGACGTGCAACAGAGTCCTGGGTTTCAGTGCCCTTGGCGAATGCGCACTGGCCAGTTCATTCAGAGCACTCAGCTCCAAATGCTGCTCCTCCTCTTCGATCTTCACATGTTCCACTTCATCTGAACCATTGGCCTGCACCTGACAAAAACAACTGGTGGTGTGACCCATGGCGCTGGGCAGGATTTTCTCGTGCAGCAAGGCATTAATCACGGCACTCTTTCCATTTGAAGTGCGACCAAAAAATGCCACCTTCATTCGATTCCGCGAGAGAACCTTTTGGATGGCCTCCACTTTGTCCCCAAATATACGAAGTTGCTCCAGTATTTGACTGTCCTTCAAGAGATCATTCTGCTCCATAATGGTTAGAAATCCCGATATGTAAGTGCCCATGTCATGGTATATATCCTGCAGTTCCGTCTTGGCATCCACAAACTCGCTCAATCGCGAGGAAGAAGACGATGAGCGGGATAAGAATGAGGATAGCGAGGAGGTACTTTCTCCAGAGTCCGATTCACACATTTTCTTGGATGGATTTTTAAAAAGTTGTTTATAAAATATACGCAAAAACTGTAGACGATGTTTGTTGTCTCGATTCGAGGGGTTATGATACACTAAATGATAAACTTCCTTGAAGTTAAAAACTAGGGATACATAGTTCGTAAAACACTACAAAAATATCTTGCAAATTATATTGTTTTTCAGCTAAATTTACAAATAAAATGGAATTCCAATATAAACTTCCACAATTTGGCTACAATTTTCAGCTGACCCCAATCGAGCTTCCATCCATAATATCTCTCCATTTCCACCGCGAGGCCCAATAAAAATACAAACTTATTTACCCTAAAAATTAACACAATTACCGCAATCATGAAATCACCCAACAAGAGAGTCGGAAAAAGAGCAGGCAATATGCACATTAATGGGCCACTGAACTAATAGACCGGGCTAAGACCATAGAGCCCGAAAACGCTTTTGGTGAACTTCAAAAATACCAAAAATACAGCAAATAGACGAAAAAAATGAAATTGGTTGGTTCAGGTTCGGTTCGCTCTGAAAAATTAGCAGCATCATCAACAAGGTGAGGAGGGGGCATTTCGATTGGATGCTTGTATAATTTTTTTCCATCGCTGCTAGAAAACAGTAGGAAAAAGAGTACTGAAATATTGAACAAGCAAAACTCGCCTGGTTAATCATTTTTTTTTATCTTCAATGTTTTTTTGAGCGGTTTCTTGAGTGCTTTATTACAACTTAATTAGTTTAAATTGTTGCCGACGCAAAAAAGAAATAATAGTAAAGAAGAAGCCGATGCTGATTGAGAAAATGATGGGAGGTTGGAGGGGCTCAGACACGGGGAGTCGTATCCGGTGAAAGACAATCGTGTGTTGTGACTCAAAATATTTTTATTACCTGAACATATTCAAATTTTATATTTGAATTTGCTTGTACTTTACAGAAACTACGGATGAAATTAAGGAAATGTTGCTTTACAAACCGTTTTTCAACACTTTAATTGACCAACACTCAGTTTAAAAAATTTCCATCGCAGCTACCGAAAAAAGTACAAAGAAAACTTATCCCATTTTCAAATTAAATTTACCAATAACTTTTCACTAAAAGGCAACCCCAACCTCGAAATAAGAGCAAAAGCTGTTACAGAAAACCGGTGAGCAACAATTATGACAGGACAGATCCGCGACTTCGGATAGTGTCAACAATGAAGTTGCTAAAAGAAGCCAAGTCAGATTTTAGGGAAGAAGAAGGGGCACTATTGTTAACAGACATGTGTATAGATGGCGGTCGGTAACATTATCTGTACTTTACGCTACTTTTTGTTGTTAATGAGTTGCCACAAAATCCGAAGAAGCTGAATGAACCTTATGAATGAGTTTGCTGGCTGCTCATTTGAATAGCCTCATTTGAATAGCACAACATTGGAAATTAAATTGGAGTAGGAAATCAAGCGCTGGGATAGGGAAACTTTCGTAATCCTTAAAGCCACATGAGTACTCAATGGGTCAAGTGCTGGCCGGCTAATTAAACTGCGACTTTTGGTTGAAGTTATGCAATTCTCAGTTAGTTTTGGCAACACGGGGAGAGAGGCAGGAGGTTGCGCAAGACGAAAACACTTGAAAGTGATACGATTATGCAGCACAAAATCGTTGACCAGGCCAGACTAGACCAGACCGAAAATAAAGCCGGTCAGGACTGCAGCCCCTCGCACCTATACCTATGCCCCTCTTCCCTGTCTGTTTGTTATTTTGTCAGCATGTAAATTTCCTTTTCTTTTTTTTGTAAATTTGTAGCGTAATGCTGACCACGTAGAATTTGAACAATTTCTACGGTCCGCTCAGACGCTCCTCTGGCCCCTCTTCACCAGCACTCCCTCGCTTTTCCAGACAACAGCAGGGCGTAGAGTAGAAAAGGCGGGTCAAGGAAGGCCACCAGACAGATACAAAAAATGAAGAGGAACAGAGATCCTCAATAGGTGCACCGCCGCCACCGAATTAAGAGACAAGCATCAGCGCAGCACCACTGCACCAGATGTTTTGTAATAACCACTTTGATGTTCGCCAAGAAGAACCCGTCGAATGCCAGGAAATTGAATAATAACTCGCCTTTCCAGTGCCTTCTTCTTATGAAGAAAAACAAAAATGGAATATAACTAATTTCAATTAAATGATTGGACAGATAAAGTGTCCTTTTCTAATCTTCAGCGAAATAAGATATAATTGAGTCCCTAAAATTAAAATAAACCTATACTAATGGCTTTCATTAATATTAATAAATTTAAGTGATATTCTAGGATCTATTACAATTCCTAATTTTTAACGGTTGTTTTACAATCTTAAATTCTTTATACCAACAAATTCTTAAATCGCGTCTTTTGACCCTTTGAGAATAATAAAAAAAAACTCTTACGAGAATTTAGTTTTTTATTCCCACCAAAACCCCCTCTCTATAAAAATCACCAGTGGTCAATAAACTTGCGTAGCTTGGCAGCAACAAGAGCGGCCTAACTGATTGCATAATGGAATTTAAGCCACCGAAAAAGAAACCAAAACCGAAATATCTATAACATAATTGAGAATAAGAGCATTTTTCTTCGATACCACGCAAAACTTCTGGCCAAGTCATGCTCCAAAAGTTGTCAACGATCTGAGAAGCTAAAAAAATAAGCAACAAAAAAGGGAAAAAGAACAAACCAAATCGAATTGAAAGGCAACCAATGTAATCAGATTTGTGATTCATTCGGTATGAGATATAAAACGTACAGATAGATATAGAAAATCAGAACTGTAGTTGGGAACAAACGAAGCTGATTGGAGGACAGGCGACAAAAAGCGAAGCGAATGAGTAACCGAGAGCTACTTGCAACTTAATTACCACGATTTCAGATCCTAGAAAGGCTGTGAGGAACACATGTCCCATGACAAGGCAACCTTGACAGGACAATGCCCGGGAAAATGTCTCCGAATGGTAACGACTTCATTTCATAGGCTCAAAACTAATGAAGAATAATTTGTGAAAAGCGAAGAACAACGGGGCTCTAAACTCACCTGAACGTGAGGAAGATGAAATTTATGAATTTTCCTTTAGGATAGATTCCCTTTATTAGTATCAGAGCTATGAAATACCATTATTTACTGAAACAGCAACCGAAAAATGACTTTCATTTTAGTCGTTTTATTTTGGAGGGCGAACAATAGAAGATAATGCCGCCAAAGGCTACGAACGGACTTCGGAGATTCGTTGGGTTCGATCCGTGGGGAATTTGGATACGCACAAATCCGAGATCGGGGCCCAGACGACGCAGACAAAGGCGAGTGCGTGTGAATGCGATATGAATCTATCTATCGGAGTTGGGCGCGCATCAATGGATTTTTAATAAATGGCCAAACGAAGCAATCATTATAACAGCAGCATAAATGCTCGTGAATAGGAAATATATCCAACATGGTGGCTGCTGTGCTGCTGCTGCTGCCTCCTCCTCCACTATTTTTTCCCTTATTCCATGGTACACAAAATGGTGGCCAGCGATTTGCGACTTTCTGTTCTCGAGGGGAAGGATGGAGTCCCTGACAGAAGCTACTTTTCCTCCACCTCCGATTCCCAGCTCAATGAGCCAGTTCAACAGGGGATGAGGCAGGAAATGCCAAGGAGGGTAAACACAGTGGCTCAGCCGGAAGGGGATAGCATAGTATGACCCTATAAAATTCAATCATAAACAACATTTCAATCAAAAATGCAACTAATACACAATGTGTTTCACACATACTTACATAACTACATAGGAACTTATTGTCGAGAATGAAATTAATTTGGTTTCATAACTTGGCTCGTAATTTGATATCATAAAGATACATGTTTTAAAACTCACATAAATTCTCATGAAGTTAATCCGCAAATTTTCTTATTTCCCTCACAGTCACTTATTTTTTAACAATTTTCAAAAAGTTTGCTGAAATATGAATAAGCAAAGCATCGATACCAAGTACAATTTTTGATAGTCATTCTAGTGTGACCAAATTTTATAAAAATGCCTATATGGTATTCTTACTTTAATAAATTTTACATTTTTTTTAATATTAAAAAAATACAATTTCCAGTTTTTTATTGGTGAATTAATAAATAGTTTTTATAATATTAACACAAAATATAAATAAAAACATGACATTCAAACTTTAATAAAACGGCCATTTTAATATAATAAATACATAAAATAAACTTCGATATATTCCATTCTTATTCGACTTAAAAAATACTAACAATTTAAAGCTCAGTTTTGTAAAATATAAAATTTACTTCGCAATCCCCCTACGATACCACCACGGTTTTGGCTTCGCAAAAAAGGGTCTTTGAGCAGCCTATGTACAGCTTATAGGCCAAAGTTGAGGCCTTGCACATTCGTACCTTCCCGTTGCCAACCCCCCGGAATACACGATATTCCATACCATATGGTGTACATAGCACTTCTTTCTCTATATATTATTTATATATTTTTGTGAGTTCGTGTGTATGGCTCTTGCTATTTTGGCGAATCATGTTTCGTTCATTTTTCAAAAGAAAAATGTTGCATGCGAGGCGACGCGACGCGCGGTGGCTGCTACTTTTACTGCCACTGCCAGTGCCTCTGCCTCTGCCTCGGATTTGGATTCGTTTTCGTATCTGCCCCCCCACCCGGATGGCAGTTCCCAGACCTAAGACCCGAGCCTCAGTAGTCGTGGTCTCATTCCGTCCCAGAAAAGGCGGCACGACCCAGTCTCAGAGGCCCAGACGGGTTTGGCCCCCTCAAGCTCATGACTTCTCCTCCCCCACGGTTAATAATAAAAGTTCGTGTGCGTGTCAAAGTTTGTTTGAAAGGCAGCCGCTTGGCTGGGAAATGGGAAATGGGAAACGGGGAACGAGGCAGATTAGCAGCAGCCATCGGCTTTGGCCTTTGTGGTGGATTGTGGGTGGTGTGGGTTGCTGCTGTGCTGCCACACACAACTCAAGCGAAAAAAGCTCATTTTTCTTTTAATTTTCGTGCCTGTCAACTCAAAATGCCTACATCCATTTATAAACGTCTCGAAAATACACGCACACCAATGCCAACAATATGTTTTAGTAAGCCACCCAACCTCCCGAAAACCCAACCCCCACTGAATCCAGGATAATCCATTTTCGTTTATATTAGAGCAGCCGCCATCTTTTGGCAGGCCATTTTCTTTCGGCTTATTTCGTTATTTCCTTTTGTTATCAGCAAATTTCTTTTTTGTACTAAGGCTTTGATAAATGCTAAAATTAATATAAACGATACAAAGGTTACTAACATTAACATTTTTAAAATTTCTAAAAGGTCAAAAGTTAATTGAACTAATTTTAAATAGATTTGTATCTTAAGAGCTTCATAAATACATTTTCTTATCAAACTGCAACTCGGAAGTGCAAACAAACGACCAGACACCCGAAAATATAAAAATGTAATCCCTTAAATTAATTTGTACTTTTATCTAGCAAAGAAACGTGTCATTTGATATACATACTTATATCTATGACTACTTCTTGTCCCCCAAGAGATCTCCTGCTTCTGTGGAGCTTATCGCTGGTTATTTTTGAAAGTGAAATTATATTATCCTCGATAAGATACGGACGGACCGAAGAGCTCTTCCCACATGTAACCAGAACAAGATCGCAGATGTACTTGTTAGCTAAAGCTAGAACTCACCAGTTTCGTTATCGATGGTAAAGGGTATTCCGTTCCATTCATTGGTAATGTCCTCCAGGGGATTCTCATTGTCCTTGTCCTGTGTGATTAGGAAAATACTTATATTATAAGAGTTGATGAAATAGTTTTTGGTGGGCAGACCTAACCCGCCCACTTTTAATAGCTGTTAGATAACCATCACCATTATCTTTTTGTAAATATTGTGAAATTCCGTATGTAAATCGTGGACGGAACTTTGCTTTACTTTACCTTATCTTGCTGAAGCTCCTCCAGAGCTTTCAACTTCTCAATATCGTCGGCAGAGGCGCCACTCGCCTCGTTCTCGGCGCCCACATTGGTGTCCTTGGAAACGCCAGACTCCGACATCGAGGGATCCGAGGACTTGGCCTCATCCTCAAGCTTCGACTTGGCGTTGGTGGCTCCACTATTGCCGCTGGCGTAGGAGGCATTGATGATCGCCTCCTGGTCCAAACTAAAGCCCAAATCCACATCCTGCTTGTACAGCACCTCAGCGATCTCACTCTCCTGCAAGGGAAAAGTTCCAGTCAATAAGGTTACACATTATATATCGCAATAGATAAAATGGTTATATCAATTGCTAGCACAAAGTTCTAACCAGTATGTCCCTATGGATGAACACCCGCATATTCACAGTTCCTTTGTAAGGATCACTTAACCAACAGATTTGCACTATAGAGTTTATCTGGGTTGCACTTTCAGTCTATCTGGTATTTTGTTTATATTATTTCCGATCTCAATTGCTCGCGACGTCATCCGCATTTGCTAGTTCCCGAAGAGAGACTGAAGGCTCCAAGAGTCGGACGAGTCATAGTCCATATGGGGGACCTCGTCCGCTCTTCTTTGCTCTTCCTCACTTTACTTAATATGATAATGTCGATTTACATTTTGCCCCTGCTGATAAAGTCGCTCGGGCTATAGATAAAACTACGTCAGAGCGATATGGATAGCGAAGAATGGTGGGTACTCTATGATGTTATTGCCGTACTGTTTATGAGAAATGCATAAACTTAATTTTCGTAAAGTCTTAGGTGGTAATGGCTGTAAAAACAAGTCTTAATTATACACATTTTATCTTCCTTAAAATACTGTCTTGTTAGACGTTGTTCTTCAATATTATAAGAACTTACTTTTAATCCCTATAGGAAATACTCTTTATGTAATGTACCAGATAACTTAAAAATTGAAAAAAGTCTAAAAATACCTTTTTGAAAGAGAATATCAAACAGAAACCATTTTAACTGATATCTTGTTTGATTTTTTAGTTTAGTTTTGTTTGTTTGATTAAGGTAGAGTCCTTTATTTACAGAGTCATCATGTTGCAAGCAACTTTGAATTTAAGGAACCAATAACATTGATTACCCAAGGTAGTAAAAAAACCTTTAAGAGTCATTATTAAACTTATAACTCTCTTAAGTTATCGCCACCTTTTTGAAAGATGGTATCTAAGTGGCTGTCAAGTTTCCAGTGATAGTGCTGTAAAGTTGGGTATAAAACATAAGACCAGGTGTACTATGGGTGGGCAAATAAGTGCCCCTACATATAGATTCTCTTATTTCACAATTCTTATCAGCCCCGCGCCATAACTCATAACCCATCGAGCGCTCCCTTAACCCGTGGAAACCTCTCGAAGAGTGCTCGCTCTTTGGACAGCATTGATGATCGATAGTGGGACGAATCTTATCAATGGAATGGCACCACAGAGAGCCAGCCGAGCCGTGGGCTCAACGCGGGGTGATATAGTATTTATAACGCTGATTTAAATGGAGGGGCATTCGCAACTCGGAGGGGGGTTGGAGCACTCTCTTACGGCGTGCCTCGGGGGCCCGGGACTTGTTTACGCCGTAGCGAACGACCGGATCTCTTATCGCCCGCCGCCTGCCGCTTCACACTGTAAACAATATTCTGCCGCTATAAATTTCCACCTAAGAGCGGCCACATACACTTGCCAAAAAGCATTCGAAAGAGAATTGGGCAAATCGGAAACCACAGTATTGCAGATCGTTTGGTTCGATGAAGATGTTTGGCCGAATTCTGCCAATTCATGCAGGGGAAGAGAGTGACTAAGAAGAGGAATTCGAGCTCAAATTATAGCGTTAATGATGCATTATTAACGCTGCTGGCCGAAACCACTTTAATCCTTTTCTTTTTTGGCCAAGTCAAGTCGGGTTTTCAAAGGGGAAGGGCAGAAGGCGGTGTCGCCCACACTTAAGCCCGGGTAAAACCGTTTGGTTTTGAAAACAGGTAACATTCCGAGGTCCATATAGTGAGGCATAATATTCTTTCCACTCAGGGATAATCACAGGATAATGGCCGACATTAGCAGTACAATTGCTGTTCGGTCAAAGGACTTTTGGATGTTTTAATTAAAATGTCTTTTTTCTATTTTTAAGGTTTTTTTTTTTTTGTTTCGTGTGACATTTTCCCGTAGCGTGCATTTTCTTTCCCCATTTTTTCTTTTCTTTTTTTTTTTTTTTTTTTGGTCGCCCTTCTCGTGAGGCTTTCTTGGACTTTTCCAACAGTGGCAACAAAAAGTAATCAATCATTGTGGCCACGCCTATCTCCTGGATTAGTCAGCAGAATATGGCGGCGGCATCATTGGTCTCTGCTGCCATCTCCCTCGCTCTCTCCTGACCCCTGAGAACGGCCGGAGAAATTAAGGGCCACTGTGTTGAGCCCAATCAATTGCTGCCGCGCCACCGCTGACAGCGACGTCGACTGAGCAGCTGGCGGAGCGGCGGCAGAGCCAATTCCCCAGAGAGCATGTGCTCGTAAATACAGTAGAACATCTTAAGCTTAACTTATTTACAAAAAAGGTATTTGATATTTAATTTAATAATAATTATTGCCTTTAATTTTTCAACAAATATTTGGGGCTAAAATATACAAAGTTATTAAAACACCTAACCACATTTAAGTATTATTCGATTTTTATATCCTTTAATGATATTTATTTTTTAGTTTTTAGGTGGCTTGGAAGTTCCACTTTCGATACTCCACTGTACTTGAATGTGTGCTGCTGTGCGTTGCGCATGTTCGGTAAAAATGAGCAATTAAATTGAGCAGAGGAAAGAAGAGGGTCTCGGATCCCGACGAAAACCCAATAACCGAATCCTCCCTGGCTGGCATTTCATTATTATTTTTTTCTCCATTTTGGGGGGGGATGTTCCATTACATACACATCAGTGTGTGCGGGTATATAGCTATTTATGGCTGTTGATTGGAAACTTGGTTTTTAATTAAACTTTAAAGTGAAGTTTAATGAAATTTTCTTTTCCTTAGCGGAGCGGTAAAAACAAAAGGATCAGCTAAGACATATTTCTTTTGTTTTTGCAAAGAAAGTAAGATGAAATTGTAAAGTAAAATAAATTTAAATTTATCATAGCCTTTAAATTCGACTTCTTACAGTGTAGCCAAGTTACAGTTCTTATCGGTTAGGGTCGAAAATACGACCTTATCTTGTACTTATACACACAAAAAAAATTGCTTGGTAAAATTGACCAACAAAGATAGTTACGTAACTATTAAAATAGTTACGTGTATTTTGTTTTTGCTTTGGGTTTGTGTCTTTGCTAATTGTGTGTATTTTGTTGTTGGGAAATGACAATTTACTTAGTAGAATTGACAATTTTGCTGGTTGGGGCCTGTTTGACAATTATTACAGTTGATTTTACCAAGTTTTTTCTTTGTGTGTAGAATTTCGCGCAATACGTGACAGTTTAACAGGTTCGAGAGGCACAAAGAATATACATATTTAAAGTGGGAATGCCAGAAAGGAACTGAATACAAATAAATGTAAGATGTTTTAAATTAAAGTAAATAAGAGTTCAATGAACTTTAATACTTTCTACTAGTATTACCCCTTTCGCGATTTCATAACTAGTCCAATGCCTTGATCCACATTTATGGTCATATTTATGGGCCAATTCTTATCGCTAGGGCCTGGGAAACTCTCTCCGTGACCTTGTAGTGCTCGCTGAACTTTTGAATTCCGCCAACGACACGTGGGCCGCTCTCGAGACAACGTTTTGAATGAGCGACTGACGAATTCAGGCATTGATAAGTGACAGATAAGAGGCGGGAATTTTATTCTTGCACTATATAGTAGTTCTCTATAAGACTGAGTAATGCTTTGAGTCGACTGATCCATCAATCAAGGCATTCTTGTTATTGTGCCCCCCATGTTGCATCAAAATATTGACACTTGTAACCGTTTGTGGCGGCAATTAGTCCGCTTAACTGAGCCGATTTTGACCATTAACTTGACCACAGAACGCCGACGCCGAATGTACAAAATGTTATAGCAAGATAAATGAGTTTCTGATCCTGCAGGGGCGGCAAATGATGAAAGTCGAGTGAAAGCAAAAGAAAGTAGGCAGGCGGAAAGAACGAATGGGAGTCTCAAAAGGAAGCCACCACGAAGGGAATGGGAATGGAAAGGAAGGGAAAGGAAAGGCTCGGCTGCGGGTTAGCAAGAGTCATTAATAAAGCCTCGGCGAAAAGATTTTTCTGATGACACCTGAACTGACAGCGCAGCACGAACCGAGAGATCACTTCAGCCACGCATCTGTGGAATACAATCGCAAAGGCAAGTTGCCAGATACAAGATACAATATCTAAGAGAGCGAGGAGCGGAGTTCGGAAATCTGTGATCGCTGAGCGGCCAGCAAGTGTGGCGCATATTAATCATGAGCTCGTCAAGCCCTCAGAAGACTTTGCCGGATTGTGGATTGTGTGCCACCAACAAAGGCGAGTTGTATCCGTGTGTGTATACAGATACAAATGCCCTCGTATCTGACGGATTGCACAAGCCCCCGGTTTCAAGTGTCCTGTTTTTGCGGTTTGCGTTTGCAACAACCCCACAATGGCAAACTATTGGGCCCTAATAACAGTTCATTTGTGTCATCCAAACGGTTTTACCTGCAATTATCAATTTAAATTCAAACTTAGCTCGGTGGTTTTCCCCGTCTCTGCCCGCCTTATAATCAATTTGACATCTGAACTTTTTACTCACTGAATGCACACTCAAACAAAACTAATATTATTAATAATTTTTTAAACTTTTTCACAGAAATTATGTTTTAACAGGTAGTTGAATTAATAAAAATGAAGGTGGTTTCTCGAACCATTATTTGCTATACTTTTAAACCTCTATATTTTCTAGAAGTGTATAGCACGGCACTTGGCAGAAGTTTGCGAACCATAATTAACGGTATTTAATTATGGAAATTAAACAACAAACTTGGTGGGAAACTAAACTTTAGGCAAAAAGAAATACAAAGTGTATATGTAGAAACTATTATATCCAAATGCTTCTTCATTGCTTCTTTGGCTCAGGGTAATTAAGTGGGAAAATGCAGCGTAATTACAGGCAAATTATTTTTCAATTTGCAGGCCTTACATATATATTTTGTTTTTTTTCTTTCCCTCTTTATTTTTTTGCCAACACTTTGCACTTTGCGGCCATGTGAATAGAAAGTTTATTCCCAGTAAACACAGATTAATGGCTAGATATAGGAAGTTGGAGACACACCGCTAGGTAAATGTGCATATATTTGTACTCCTCGTTGAGACACATTTTGATCGGCGATTGAAAATTGATTTCCGCTTGATTTGATATTGCTATTCGGGCAAACGTATTCACTGTAAATCGGCATAACGCAGACTGAAACTTTCGTTTGGTTGCGCTCGAGAATGTCTGGGCCCGCTGGGCTGATTAGCAGTTTCGAGGGGCTCATAAAAATATATTTTTTTCTTTGATTAATTTCAATTGATAAAGTTTGTTTTGCACGAATTTCGAAAAGTTGAAACCAGCAACCAGCGACTGATAAGCCCTAGGCAACCGAAACCAAGTGGGCAGTAGACAACAAGTACAACCTTAAAAAGAGATTGCTAGACCTTATCAGCAATTCAAATTTTCAGTCTACTATTACGTTATCATAATTTCAAATTTCGATTAAAATAGTTATCATTATGAAACTTCGATTGCAAAAGTTATTGCTATCGCTTTTCAAAGCATCTTGGTTGGGTTTTGAACTCTGCTAGCACCGGGTTGCTGTCTATGCTAAGCAGCTTTTGAGTCTGGGGTGAAAGTTGAATTTTTTAGCAACAAATGTTGCTGGTGGTGGACTTGCTGACTGAGGTGAAGAGAGCGCGCTGAATGTGAAGTGAAATGCAAAAAGTGTGGTGTGTAAGAAATGCCGGCAAATCAGCTGTTTTTCCACTTTGGTTTTGTTTTCAAGTTTTCTTTGGCCATCACCACCCCCTTTTGCACACTCACACACACACAGATGTACTGAGATTAGAAATGCAATCTGAAATGATAATTGAGCAATTATTAAGTGACTTAATAATACAAATTTGAGAGGGAGAGAAATTAAGAATCACGACACCTGAGATCTTATGACTCAATCGAGAAGAAAGACGATTTTGATTAGTAGACTTTAATATACCCTAGTAATTATTAAATACCATCCATTATTTTGATCAAGAATATTTATAAACCTTAATACGATCGATTATGGATGGATCTGCATAAAAATTTATAATAATATTATAGTTCTTGTTTTAAAGTTAGGTAGCTAAATAACGGTTATCTAATAGTAGAGACACTCGACTAAAGCGTACCCTCTTGTTAAAATTGGAATCTTAATATTGGTTATTTTTTCCAATTCTAATCAAATTATGAAGTTGGGATAACAATTTAAGTTAGCGATTTTGCTTATAACCCGGAGTCTAATTATAACTCCCTATGTCAGGGTATCAAAAACGAAGTTCAACGAATCTTTCCGCTCGCTTTTGGCGAGTTTTATTTCATTCTTCTGAATCTCAATCAAAATGCGAGACCGAGACCCCAAAAATAACACCCAACCAAAACAACGAAAAGTAAAAAATAAAAAACAAAAAACGCTGACCGTGTGTTTGTATATAAACGAATGAGTTAAAGCGAAACGTAAAAAGCTACAAAGCTTGGTAGATTTGCAATTAGTGGAAAGACAGCGAGGTAGACGACATTCAACAAAGTAGAGTTTTGAGTTTTAAGCTTCACCTGATCTCTCTCATGTGAGTGTGTGTGTTGAGGTCACACATACGCACTGTTGCGACCTCTCTCACCTGAGAGTTGGAGGTACAGGTAGAAAAGTACTGATCTGAAAAGGTGACACATTCGCTAATACACCTGTACCGTCCAAGATGGATGGATGGTTCTTTGTGGGGGAACCACTTAAATACCCAGCTTGCATCTCTTTCTTGTTACCATATTCGTTTATGGTATAATGGTAAGCAGCTGGAACTAGTTGCAGTTACCAAGCAAATATTATTATAATAGGGGGTTCAGAACTCAAAGTACCTATTAAGTAAATAGTTTGTATATACCAGAAGAAATACAAATTTTACAAAGTAATATCTAGCTTATCAACTCGTTTCGGTTCATACAAATTTCTAAAAAAAAAAAAGAGAATCTTCGCTCAGATGAAATTAGAAAGTTTAATAAATTATCTTGAAGCACCTCAGGCATATACCCCTTAATATCTGCCGATACGTGGTATAATTAATAACAAAATGCAAAGCACAAGTTAATCAAGAAAGAACAAAGGCAATAATAAAGCATTAATCGCCATCGCTTCGATGATTATGCAATGCGAATGCCGAATGCATTTAATTAGATCATATCAAAAGCACATACTTATGTCTTCTATATGCTGCCTGCCTCTCAAGAACATACAGTCAGTCAGAGCAGCGAAATAAAACCGTCATCGGCCGAAATGGAAAACATTCGTGACATGTTGGAACAGAGAAACAACAACAATAAAGCACTGCAAGCAACTCAAGTGTACAACAACAAAGAGCTGAATAAATCGAAAATAACACCGAGTTAGTCATCTCGCTCCTGTCTCGGCCATATCATCTCTCCCCCCGCCCGTCGCTCTTGGCCTGGCCAAGTATAAATATTTATGCATATTTAAATTGCAATTCGCAAAACGCACAAAACAGCACCAGCAGAGGCCGGGGTGTAAAAAAACAAATAATGAAATCGCTGCCTGTATTGCCGCACATTTGTCGCCGACATTCAATTCGATTTTTAAAAATAAATAAAAATCGAGCACAGAATCTGAATCATATCTATAAATTCGCATGCACATAGATGGCGATTGTAAGCCATTAAAAAGATTTAACAAATAAGTGACTCCCTAAATGGAAAGTGCGTTAGTAATGAGCCAAAATATTATATCTCTGATTTAATTTATAGGACTCGCAATCATGTGCAGTCTCATTTACAGATATAATAAATAATTCAGTTTTTATTGCCCGTTAATTAATTACTAAATTGTATTTTAATTTTCGGTCCGAAATCCCTTTTCACATTTTATGAATTTATCTTATTTGTTTTTTGGATTCGTTTAAATGGTTTTTGCGCAGTCGAAGCGTTTAATGACCTAATTGTTGCTTGTTTTGTGTGTTTGCATATAATATGTGAACTTTGGGACAGAAAGACGGTGAAAGTTGTTGCGCACGGTTCGAAAATTTAAGGCAAACAAAAGATAGGTCTTTAAGATTTATGTATGCAATCAATAAATCTTTTCAGGTAGAATTTACTCATTACAATTAAAATAATGTCTAGTTCTCTATATCGATTTCTCTATAATCTCTCAATTAAAAGAATCAGCCAATAAATAATCCAGGTACTGATAAAGATCCCACAGAATGACAGTGTATGAGTGGATAACCGTAGCAACAGTCATGCTGATGTGTAAACAAAGTTGGAACCCTTATCTGCTGATAAGGTAGAAAAATTGTCAGACTCATTGGAGGGGTGACCAATCATAACAGAAAGCCAGGCCTCACATTTGAATATCGATTGGTTTCGGGGAAACCTGCAAACTATAATTATAAAGAAAGCTGGACAGAGACCAGCTAGAAATAAAGAGCAAGCCAAGGGGAGAACCCTAGAGCGGTAGACTGGGAATGGGTCAAGCGATGGGTTCGCAAATCTTTATTAGCAATGCAAAAAGCTTCGTTTTTTTTATAGAAACACTGCTTGATAATGAGCACAAGCACACACACCGAAGCACAGTCTGCAGGTGGTGCCATTTGAGTGCCTTCTAATCAGTCAAATCAAAGTCATTTACAACTGCACTCGGAGAAAACTAGAGTAAGAACCTTGACCTATATGATATTACTTAACAAATTAAATTATTAGAAAGTTCGTAGACCAACAGAAGAACTTAAATGTACGTTGGTTTTTAGATAAACCTACCTTAACTCAAAATATTTGTATGGCTTAGTTTTTTTTAGTGTTTTCTAGGGTTACCTCCTCTTCGTCTCCGATTTCCACCTCGTTAGCGAAGGTGGCGCTGCCGAAGGGCTCGTCGGTGGTCAGACCCTCCACCTCGCAGGCGTTGGCCACCCCTCCGGCCATCTCGCCCTCGTACTCCTCGTCCTCGTCCTGTCCAAACAGGCGACCCAGATAGAGGCTCTCCTCGCCGTCATCATCGTTCCTTCCGGCCGAGTTATTCGTGACACTGCCCAGATTCCTGGGATGTGGCGTGCTGTCGTTAAGGGCGGCATCACGGCCCAGGGGCGTGGCACTGCCGCCGGTGAAACCGTGGAGAAGTGCCGCCAAACTAAGATCCAGATGCGAGCTATTCGGCGGCTGTTGCTGGCCATCTTTAAGAGGTAGATTTGCATAGGGACTGGCCTGCAGATTCAGATCGTTGTAGTCATGGAGATCCGCTAGATTTTGCTCCCAAATGGAACGCTGATCCTGCAGTAAATGCGGTGACAGGAAGATGTCCAATTCAGGCGGCGGATGGAGCAGCGTATGGTTTGCATTGCCAGCGGCCAGCGAGGCGGTGTCAATGTGGATTTCTCCCAATGCAGAGCCACTCGTTGGACCACCGGACGTGGGGGCACCACCTGCGCCAACCACCACCGAACTGGCAGTGGCTCCAGCACTATTGCTCTGCACATCCTGCAGAGCTGCCGTCTGGACACTACTATTCCCGGTGGTGTTGTGCAGATTCATCACGAAGGTGCTGCCATTGAAACTCGGCGGAAGCTTGTACTCCCCCATTCCGTTTCCCACGCCGCCCAAGGACGAGGGATCGTCGAAGTTGAGGAGATCCTCGATCCGCGGACTGAGTCCCTTTCGATTTCCATACGGGTTTTGATCCATATCCAGCCGATGGACCGAGCGCAGCATCTCCAGCTCCCATCCATCGCCGTGGGTGCCCAGTTCCAGCTGCGAGTCCCAGCGATGGAGCAGGTAGTCCGGGTTGTAGTGCAGCAGACTCAAGGCCAGAGCCAGCTGCAGCATTTTCATAGCGTACGACTTTTTGTTTGAGATCATTTTGCTGCGCGATGAGGTCGCAATGCTTGGGTGCGTGGGTGTCTTTTGAAGTCCGTAGTCCGATCTCCGCCCGCCTCCTCCACCTCCTCCTGTTGCTGTTGTTGTTCTCCGTCCCGGACAACAGCTCTATGGCTGCGTCGTCCGGGATCTATGCGTTCAATGACGTCGCCTTGCCCCCCGCCTTCCTTGCGGCCTCCTCTGCGTTCCGAAATCTGCGCAAAAACAGAAAATTCGCAGTTTCCACCGCCGATCTCCGATGCTCCTTGCTTTTAATTGATGACTGTCCTCGTGTTCGTTCTGTAAGCAAATCAAGATGTGACAACAAATAGAATGGAATTAGTAAGCATAACGATTTGTTAAATATACTTAGTGTAATATGTATATGTGGATACTGGCTGCATGGCCATATATGTGCGGTTTGAATGTTAAATGAAAATGCTTTTGTTTCGAGTGGTTCGGCCTTTGTGTGTTTGCCATTCGATTTTATAAAGCACTGAGCACGAGGAAGTGCACCAAAGAAAGTTTTATTTCCGGGGCGAAATTGTCTTGGTTTTAAGAAATTCCAAAGTAGAACTTAACATTTAGTTAATTCCTTTAAATAATTTTTTTTAATTATAATAAGACCGTTTTTTATCTTTGAAGAATTAATATTTTGATGAGCAATTCAAAGTAATTTTAGTTTGTTACCCATGAGAGCTAGAGCTTGAAAATTATCGATAAATGATAGTATCGATATTTTCGATACTTTATCATTATCGTATCGATAATATCGATGTTTTCAAGGAAAGCAAAGACAAATTAAAAATAATTTTATAATTCTGTTAATACCACGTATTATTATTATATACATGCATAATACACTTACATTATTATTAATATTATTATTAGAAAAAATCGCGGGTAATTTATTTAATTTTAAATTCCGGTTTTCATTATTAAAATGCACTTTCAGAATAAAGGATCGTCCTCTTAAGAACTCGTGGTTTATTTATGTTTGATCATTGAGTTGAGTTGCGTCACATGTCTAGGAAGACACCAATTCTTAGTCAAAGACATTCACGGCTTCTTTGTTCCTTCTTCTTTGTTTCCTTTGTTCCATACCATTTTTTGGTACTAAAGAAGAACAAATTCCTCCTCTTCTGAAGAATTCCCGGTTGCTTTTTTTTTTGATCCTTTGCCAAAATTGCTCAAACGGTCTTCGTTTTGTTTGTTGTTGGTATTAAAAGAACGAGAGTTCCTCCTTTCCCCAAGAAATCGCGGTTCTTTCATTTTCGATTTTATGCCACAACCTATGGTTATTTTCCCCTACTTTAATTGATACTATACCATAAAGAAGTAAAAATTCCTCCTCTTCTGAAGAATTCGCGGTTGTTTTTTTTGGATCCTTGAGTCCAAATCGCTCAAACGATCTTCGAAAAGCGACCAATTCTTATCAAAGGCTATGAATTCGCGGTTTCTTGAGATTTTTTAATAGCGGACAGAAGGTCGGTAGCTGCAACCAAGACTTTGTTTTTGGTACTAAAAAAACCAAAGTTCCTCCTCTTCCCAAGAACTCGCGGTTCTTTTATTTTCCATTTTTTGCCATAACCTATGCCCTTTTCGCCTACTTTTAAGTATTTCATAATATTTATGGTACCAAAGAAGAATAAAATACCAAGAACTCGCGGTTCTTGCATGGTAATTTGTCCCTACTTTAAGTGATTTTGTATTAAAAGTTATTTTGGTCCTCAGAATTAAAGAGTGAAATCTGTTCGTTTCTCTCTAATAAAACGTCAGAAAACATCGATATTATAGATAAATATCGATGTTTGAAAAATATCAGAAGTATCGATAATATCGATACTGATATCGATAATTTTCAAGCTCTAATGAGAGCTCTCTCTTATCTCCATTGGTTAGACTTGAAATTATTTCTATGTACTACTGACCTATACTTTATTTAGATAAAGAATTTATTATTACAGCAAGTAATATTAACATTTCATAACATTTGTTGTGAAAAAATGAATAGTTAGATAAAATTCCAATATTATATTGATGTCTTAAGTAGAAGGTTTCTTGAATATTAACTGAGATACAGGAAACCAGAGTGGATAGCCTAGAAAGACTGATGATGGTGACCTTCAGCACTAGACTTTGATAAGTTCAATATTCACGGACAATTAAGCGGGTCAAGAATGGAAACCCGAAGTCTGTTTATGTTTGTTTATCCTTCTTTGCTTTCCGTTTGTTATCCCAAATCAGTTTCATATCTACAACGCATTTATTATGCCCATCCTGTACAGTCCCTCCCCCTGGGTGGGTTAACAGACAACAGCCGCCCACCCAGAAAAGAAGGTGGAGGAGGAAGGAATGACCCAGACCCAGACGAAATGGCTTTGAACTTGAACTTTTTCAAGGTCTCTCGCGAGCGTTTGAAATGTGCGCAATGCGAAGTGAAACACCCAATTCAAGGACGGCCAAAAAAATGTGCGAAATTGTTAGAGGTTCGATATAAACTTTCTTTGTTTAAAAGCATTTGCAAATGGCAAAGAAAAAATTATTTTAAAAAAGATAAAAAACAAAACTTTGATTGGCTCGATTCTCAATGAAAAAGAGGTGTGTGAAAGAGAGGGGGAGATGACGCATGCATGCATGCGTGAACGAGAGGGTTCTATGTGTGTGTGGGTGTGGGTGTATTGCAGTGCACTCACCTCAAATTTTTTTGGATGATGAGAGCCGACTACAACGGTAAAAAGCTGCGGCGCAGTAAATGTTCTCCGTGCTGCTGTTGTTGCTGCTTGATCTTCTTCTTCTCTCCTCCTCTGCTGCACACACAATGGTGAATGATGGATTATTGTTTACCGTTCACTTTTCTTTTTTTACAGCACCTTATTTGTTTATGTTTCACTTTCTTTCTCTGGTTTTTACTTTTAATTGCTGCAAAACACGCGTTTTATTTATTTAATATCTTAAGATATCTTTGTGGTTGGTGTGCGTCCTTGAACTTTCTCTTGGCTAACTAATTTCCATTTAATTGCCATTAATTATTTATAACAATTGGCATTTAATTAAGTGACAGCTGCTTCTTCTTGTTCGCCGTCTGCTACGCACTTTCGTGTGAGTGTGTGTGTGTGCCGCGTTTTGCGTGGTGAAATCGTCACTTTTTTTATGAACCCTAAAATGGATCTGCTTATTTTTATTGCTACTTTGAATTACCGAGTTAATGATTGCGAAATTATTAGTAATACAATAAATTAGAGAGCTAAAAATATTTATTATCCGAAAACATTTTTATAGAAACATTCAAACTACATTTAAAAAGTTTCATTAAAATCCAACTCTAAACAGTAATAAAAATAAGCAACCCATCTAGGGTTAACACAAAAATATTTTCGCTTCGATTGTTGTTTTTGCACTGCCTAATATTTTCATGTGTTTTGCCTGCACATCGCTTTTTATTCCTTTGTTTGCTTTTATCGCCCCTTTCTCGTCTCTCTTTCTCTCTCTGTCTGACTCACACGCCAAAAACAAAAAACACGCACACAGGTTAAAGCATAAAAACTGCTGTTTTTTCTTGCCAATTCCGATTCCGCTGCTGCCTGGCCACAATTAATGCAATTAATTAAATGCAAAGTGATTTAATTTTTACGGAGAAGAGAATCACACACGGAGCAGGCGGAGAGGAGAGCAAAACAAATTGTGAAAACGCGAGGTGGAAACTTCGAGAATGAGCCGAGAATAACCGGCAACAGCATTTCAACCTTCGCTCTGCACTTTGCGTCAACAAATTATTTATCAAATTGCCTGTTTTTATTCTTTATTTTACTTTTTTTTTTTTTGTTCGATTGCAGTCTGTCAGCTGAGCGGCAGAGAGAGAGAGGGAGACTGCGCGCGAGAGCGAGAGGGGGCGATTGCTGAATAACTGTTGTTGCTAGCCTGTTGGTCGTTGTTGTTTAACTTTAACCCACCACCGCCGCAATGAGTTGCACTTATTTAGTGGGGCATGCAACATTTTACACATACGTAGTTTAAATCGCAACTAAAACTCTGCCATTTGTTGTTCCGGCAAAAACACACAACCAGACAGACGCACACGCACACACAGGCACAAACACACTCAAGCGGCGTGTACTTCGCACTTTTACGCGTCTCTTTCACTGTTATTTGGCAAATTATCGCCGCGTGCGCTTCGCTGCTCTCTTTCGCCGAGCGCCGTACCTACGTGGTGGGATTAAAACGTGTTTGTTTGTCAACTTTTGGCAATTTCTCCGCCGTCGATATCGCTCGCGATTTTTTGCTCCAAACAGAAACGTCTGTTCAGCGCGGTGACTTTTTTAGTGTAACCAGTTGGGGCCGCTGCGGCCAGTTTGGGGTCGATTTTGTTGAAATTTGTGCTTTTGCGGTATTTTTTGTGGTACCAAGTGCGGTAACACCTAACAGAAATGTTAAAGTTCAATGGTTTTCTAACAGGGGCAGAGAAATTCACCACAAAGCTGCGCACTTGGCAACAACAATCTGTGTGATTACCTGATAATTCACCACAGTGGTGGGTTCCCATAGAGCTTTTTACGAAATGGTTGAAATGTAAAATGTTTTTAAATATTTACCTGATATTTTTGTATCCGTGATTTCTTATATATAAGAAGCAATTAGAATTGGTTACAAGTAAAAATTAGATGTTAAAATTAAGCTAATTTACATTAATAGTCATATGGTAAACAGTGGCGCCCACTGTTGTAATCGTATGTAGATAAGATGTAAACTTACATGGACACGTGTCCATTTTTAATTTGCATACATTTTGTTTTGAAATAAGTAAGATAAGTAAGATCTGTAAGTAAGATCTGTTTTTGAGACAAAAACATAAATTCTTCTTACATTTAAAAAATATAAATAATTTTTGTTAAAATTATATTGATAAACTTTTCATCACATGTATGTAATATTGATATCAATTGTTGTAATACCTCTTAATCGATTTTCATTCGTATAATTTCAGGACGTTGATAATAAATGGATTTACTTAGTAATATAATAGTATACCTTTGGAACTGTGTTTTTCAAAATAAAGCTCGAAAAAGTTCAATTTACCTAATCGACCCACACGAAATTCAATTAAGATTGATGGCGGTAATTTTGAGATAGAATACGTCCTGAAAGAGATCTTTAATGCCTGACCTTCGAACAATTGTGCTGGCAATTGGGCAAAGTAGTTATAGGCCCATCCCTGACATTACTTACCAGGTTGTTGAAATGGAAGCCACCTCGCCAAATGGGGTTCTTGGCGTTACCTGGGGTCGTCGACTGCGGAGTGGGCGGAGTCTCCAGAGAGGCTGGAGTAGGCGTGGCCAGAATAGCGGGCGTGGAAGCCACAGTGGGCTTTATCAATTTGGCCAACTTCGAGGGCGGTCCAATGGGCACTCGCACGGTTACGGCCTTCTTGGGGTTCGGCTGCAATTGGGTCTGATGGTAGTTATCCTCAATATCCTTGCACGGGGACAAGGATTGCAGCCGGGGCAGGTCCTCCAGGTCGATCATGATTGCTTATCAGCCGGCACAAATGGTGATGAGTCAATAAGTCAACTGGAATGAAAGCGAAAACCGAACACACAGATAAGGACAGGTTGATTTCTATTCCCTGGACTCGAAAAGTAATGTGCTTCTTAGAAAAGGTGGCTCTGAACTCAAGAAATTTCTGAGTTGATAAAATTTATAAAATATTTATTAAAGGCCGTAGATGTTATACATGAAATATTTTGATATGTTATTTTGTAAATTAATAACCATAACTCAAAAGTTGTACTACATTTAATTGTTAGTTAAAATTTCTCTAATTTCCACGAATATCCCGCTAATTACGACCATCAAATCGGGCTTTCACTGTAACAGAGCTATAAATACTGATAAGAGAGCTTCGATTGGCGGAATTCTAAATAGAGATATAGCACAGTTAAATGGTTTGTTTATTTCTCGATTGCGTTTTGCCATTTATGGGAAAGATTACACACGTTCACATGGAATCAGACGTAGATAAGTACAGTGGATGCCCAACTACAACAACAACAGCAAGGAATATACAGAAAGATAACCATGTGGTATCGGCACTCATTATCTATCAATTGATATGAAAACTTAGTATTGAATATCAGGATCCCTAAAAGGATTTTCTTCATGGGAATTACCACTGTACAGTGCGCCCTGCCTTGAAAGCATGCAAATTACATCAGCCAATGTTTGAATGAGGGATTTTCCGATTAGATTGCGACCATAAATGAATCATAAAACAAAAGCAATTGGTTTCGCTTCTAAATTGTGGGAACCTGTCATGAGTCGAAGCTCTGGAAATGATCGATAAGACCGGAATCTACCATAAACATGGTTGTTTTTACTTTCTTCTTAATCTTTACTCTCCTAACGAAAAAGTGGATTTCTGATATTAATTAAATTAATTAAATAAAACGTTTATCCTATCCTATCAATGCAATTGTTAGTATTTGACTAATATAATTTTAACAATTAAAATTTGTTTATAGGCGCCTACAGGGCAATCTATATTATCTTGTTTATTCAATTAGTCCCTAGGTTGTCAATTACTTATTTTCACACTATTTTGACCTTTAATCTCATTCTCAATAGACCCAGAATATTTATTTTATATGGATATTTATTAACTTATTAAACTATCTATCATACAACACGTGTGCTTAACTACAAAAGTTTTTACAATTCAAGTATTTCTACCTCCAATGAAGACCCCCCAGAAGTTGAGAAACCTCTTTAATCTGACAACCAACCTCCAAGCAAAATCTTATTACTAATAGTTTAAACAATACTAGGTTGAAGGGAATAATGGCTAAATTTACGGTTTTCTGGGAATCCCACATCGCTGCTTTGAATAATGGTCAAAGTTAACAGTTCGGAAACGCTGTGATCTCTGGTTTGTTTGCCATGACTCAACCGAATGTGCGAAATAAATAAAACAAGTACAATGGCAAGTAAAAAGCAAGTGAAGTCAACGGAAAATGTTCGACGGCTCAGAGCGATACTGTTTTTAAAGATGAGATACTTGACAAGAAGCGGGCGAGAGAGAATGATCAAAAACAGGGGAAAACGGTGGCTGGGTTGGTAACAAAAAAGTCTGGCTAAAATAAAACTGGAAATGAAAGTTGTAAGTTACGAAGTGCGTCTTAGAACTGCGGGTTTTTGGATATCGAAATGCTTTATTGGGAAGAGTTACAGAGATCTTTATCTTAATACCCTTTAAACTTTAAATCAAACTGTCATTATTGGGGAAATGATTTATAAAATAAGTCTCATTAAACAATCGAATGATCAATTCAAATGATTTATAGTAACAAGTTAATTGAGTGGTCAAGTGAGTATGATATAAGATAGTTATCAGATGTAGTCAATTAAAAAAGTCAGATATGACTCAAGATTATCTCATATTTAGACACGTATTTTATCCATCTATGCACATTTTGCACTTTGCACTTGTGCAAAGATAAATGCTAGATATAAATACCTCTTGCAGTTTCCATTTATGCAAATCATCCTGGTCCAGGTATTCATATTTATAAACAGTGAAATCACAATGCAAACTTGGTTAATATCGAACGGTTTTTTCCCCGAATCCAAGTCAACATTGCAAATCTGTTCGAATCGAGAAAATAAAAACAAAACCAGTTTCTTAAGGTTTTTTTTAAATGGATATACTCTTACGACGAAGAAGATGCGCTTTCTGATTCAGTTAGTCGTAGATCAATGAAATCAAACAAAAAGTACCTTCAAAAAACTTGAAGCCCTAAAAAGGAATGATTCTAAATTCTAACAAATAAGATATGACTAGATGAAAATTTCGTGTTCTTAACAACTTACAAATTCTTTCAATATTTGTATGGAAAACTTTCTTTGTCTCCGAGTTCTCTTCTCAAACAAAGCTAGAGTATTGACAATTTCGTATGTGTAAGTCAATTTTCCCGTGTTGATTTTAATAAATACCCTCTGGTTGTTGTTTTCGCCAACGTCTGAGGCTGTCGTTTGATGCCTTGACGCAGTTTATAATACGAATCAACGCTGGGCATAATTAAAACTCGGAAAAAATGCGAGAAAAGATGTGAGAAAAAAACTGAAACCAAATAAGCAAAGTTCAAAACAAGCCTCTGTCCGGCCGATATCGAGTATTCTTTGCCCGAACACACAGTACATATTGATTTTAGCAATTACCTGACAAAGGCGCATCAACAGGTGAGTGAGAGAAAGAAAGAGAGAGGGTGAGAGTGTGAGAAAGGGACGGGGAGAGACACCAAGTCCGTGTCTAGGGATCGTCATGCAGTTTGAGTTTTTAATTCGCGTGGGGGGATATAATAACAAACTATCGAAAATGTCGTGACAAAGTCTTTAGAAGCTACCGCACATAATAATAGATTGGGCGTCTCAATTGGGGGTTTATTAACTAGAGGTATATGTTTTTGTAAACACTTGTGTATTATACGAAGCTTCGAGTCTCTGAAGCGTAACTCAGTCACATTTGATTGTTTCCAATATTATTTAATTGTTGGAGAGCCAAAGGGACTTTCATTATCATTATCATTATCATTAGCAAAAACACACACAGCCAAGCCATTAATGTAAATATTTATACATTACACTCGTCGGTCTTTATTTTCTTATTTTTTGAAGAGCGGTAAACGAAGAGAGCTTAAGAGAACGTGCACGGAACTGATGACCACATGCCGGTAAATTTATGCGAAATATTTTGTTTGTGCGCAAAATTTCCACAGAAATATATACATAGCGTATAAACTACTATTTGCAATGTGGGAGAACGAGAGAGAAAGCGGCAGTTCTATCCAAAAGTTTACTATTAAATTGAACTTGTTGATTAGGTCGAATGCCTAGAATGCCAAAACACACACACAGATACACACGCAAACACGCGCACTCACACTCGCACACTCGCTAGGAAGTCATTTCCACCCGGGGGGCGGGATGGGGGGTTAAATTAACTCGACGGGCTTAACGACGCAATTGTTGTGCTTTTGGTGCCCCTTCAACTGCCCGGCATTAAATGTAATTATTTCGCACCCGTACTTGTGTTTTATTCAACTATTTCTTTTACCTAGGCTTCAAACCTTTTGTTGTTGTTTTGTTTATGGCTGGTTGGCCAGTTGTTGTTTTTAAACACAGATTTTGTTTTCGAAAAGCGCGCCACGCTCGAAACACTTGTTTTTTTCTTGCAGAAAGAGAGCTGCGTCAGATATTACGTATACGACGTGTAGTACACTTAAGAGCATCCACAAGAAATCAGCTGGTTGGGCCAGAAAGAGAGGGGGCGGTGGCGGTACGGTGAGTGAGCGGGCGAGCGAATAGCTGGGCGATTGTAATTCACTGAACGGCTGTTCAAAAAACACTGACAAAACCTCTGAAAAGCCGATGGTCGTCGCTCGGCGCTTCAGCTGTTTGCGTCGGCAGTAAAACAGAAAGAGAGCGAGCGGCGAGGGAGCGAAAGAGAGGGAGCAGGCGAGCGGAAAGAGATGGGGCTAGAGGCCCCAATCGCCAGGCAAAACTGGCTGATAAAAGCGAGTAGATAGCGCAGGGCAAGTGCGCTGTCGCTATCGCTGTCGGCGCTGTTGTTGTTGTTCTCTTGGCCAGCTGAGAGCGGCAGCTTCTTAATTGATCCGCTAACACACCTGTGGTATTCAAACGACATCTTCCGCCTGACGGCGCCAATTCGTTGGGGCCCTGAATCACAGCTTTTGTCGCGACTTTTGCTCTATTTAAAGAATTTTATTGATCAGCGCTTATCACTGCGATTGGTGTGACCAAATCGATGTGGAAGTGGTGCGGAGTGGCCAGCGTTTAATATAAAAATACAAAATAAATAATTACTTTCAAAATATAAGCAATTTTTAAAGATCATAATATACATTAACAATATAGGAGGCTAGAAAAAATATTTAAGAAGTATTCTAGTGTCATTCCTTAAAACCGCGTTTGAAAACTCAACAGTAACTTTAAATATTTTACTATTGCTACGAACTATAACTATTAAAAACGTTATTTTCGAATGTCTCCTCTACGAGTATATCAGTTCTTTAAAGCTATTTTGGCTCTTGAAAAAGCCAAAAATATCCGGTTATCAAAGTCAAATAAAATGTATAGATTAAATAAAGTGTTCTTGCTAGATATTGGTGATTAGAATATAAATAAGTTACTAAGCGGCATAGCTTACAGAACTAACCATAATCTCGTTTTATTGTAATACTACACATCGCTAGCCTTTATTATCAAAAAAATATAGTCTGATGAATAATGAATTTCCTATATTGTCAGTTTAATTTCCCAGGAAACCTGGCGCTGAGTCTTAAATCCATTTGCGGTGATTACCAAATCGACCGGCATTTCCGGAGCTTTCCTGGAGCCCCTAAAAAGAAAATAGACGTTAAATCATGCGAGTACAATAGCATAGCGGGTGCAAAGCAATTTGATCCATAAAGTGAATTACACTAAATTAATCGCGATAATATCCGGCCAATAAATCGAGTTCTTATCGCTGACATTTATATATTTTATGCTCAGCCCTTGATATATGAAAGGACTCGATGGTTTTAAATGTTAAAGTTCGCTGAAAGATAGACAAGACAGATAAATCATACAAGCGTGACATTTACAGATTAGTTATCGCTTTTATTAATATTCCCATTTGACTTAAATTAAATTATGTAAATATATATTTATATATAGATGTGTATATATCATTAGCATACAATTAGATTTACGTCTTTAGAGTTGCTCTGCCTGCTTTCCATTGCATTCTAGATACACTTTGTATTTTCCCTACGCGAATTTCTATATAAAACCTGATAGCCAATGCATAATTAATAATTTCTTATAAATTAATGCCGAATGCTAAAAAAAATTTCGTCTAATAAAATTAACTATAATTCGTATTTGATCCTTGAATTCAGAAAAGGCCATTCTTCAACTCCAGGACAAAGCGGGCGAGGGGGTTAGGAAAGGATTGAGGATGGGTCTTGAGTGGTTTTTCGATGAACTAAATGGAACCCAAAGGTGATAAGTCAATCAAAGCTGTGGACGGATATGCATTGTACAATACAATTAGACGATGAATGGGTTAACATTAAATCAAAAGCAGTCGGAACCAAAACAAATTCTTCTTTGTCAGTTGATCTGTAAAACTTTCTAAATCTTCCCCTATTTTTGTTTTTCCTGGGCCTTGAGTATCTTTCGTACCTATTTTGTGTTCTTTCTGTATTAACTCTATTTCGGTTTGTTTTCGTTTTTCATTTTTAGTTGCTTGTTTGGCTTATACATTTGTCGAAAATCCGTAAAATCGCTCCAAAACTTGTTTTTTTGTGTTTTCTCTGTGATCTAACTTTGTCGCTAATAAAGTTGTTTTTGGTTTTATTTTGGTATTTCTCTCTCTAGCTCTCTGTCTGTGTTCCTATAATTTTTAAATATATAGGTATTTCGGGGTATCTGAGCGATTGACTTCGACTATCATTGAGTTAGTCTTAGTGTGTCTTAGCCAAGCGAATCGTCTCCATCCACATAATCGTCCGCTATTCTTCCCAAAACGAAATCAAAGATCTCAAATGGCTTGATGCAAATACACATTTACGAATTAGCATAGTCGAAAACGGTTGAAGGTTTAACTCTGAATTTGCTTAACCATTTCCAGACAGAGATATCTCGGGCGTGGCTACAAAGGGGATTGTTAACTATTTGGGTTACAAAAGTATAGGTTTTCTTTGCTCAATAGCTTCTGCATTGTTCCATGATTTATTTTAATAATTCTAAATGATCTCGCCCCCTTGAAAACTTTCCCGACTACGACTCTGACCCATCCCAGGCTAATCTAGTCGCATGGCACTCTGTTATCGGGAAGCGCTGCCAATGGCACAACTTATACACGTTTCTATGGGTTTTAATGACAAAACCGGCGTGCCAGCGTACCCCAGTTTTAAGTGGCAGAAAACGACGGATTCCCTCAGTTTACACAAACACCTCGGGCCTTAAAACCGGGCTATCTTTAGGACAGACGTTCCGACACTAATCAAATGATAAGCGGCGATATGGTGAGATGGTAAAACACATGGTAAAATGTCTTTAAATTAAAAAAAAGTCGTAGTAATCGAAACATTGTAATCTGATAATCAGTTTTTGTGTCTTATGCGAGTGCGGAAATAAAAAGTGTTGAATATTTTTGGGTTCTAGCCAACTACAGCGTTTATGCCATGTATGTACATATGGGATGTCTACATGTTATTTCGTATCTCGATTTCCTAAGTTATCTGTATCTGCCTGCCTGACCTCAGACCACACTAGAGCTGGAAAGAAAGGTATGTGTTTACATTGATTTCATGCCACAATTATGCGCTTTTTGACAATTTTACTTGTGAATACTCATTGGCTTAAGATAGTTAATTACTATGGCAGCCATATAATATCGTTAACAAATTTTAAGCTAATTGGATTGGCGTTAAATGTTGCTGATCCACCTGCTGGATGAGAAGATTTTAATTGGCTGAACGTATCTTTCTAATTAAAACTTGTTCTTCAACTGATTTTGATTTTATATTTATGAGTTATCCGATGTTATAGCATTTGAAATGTGAAAATAATAAGTCGATATTTAACGGGTTCTATTGGGATTATTTTTCGATTGGAAGATAATATTGATTTTGAAATGTATACTTAAATCATGAGTTTATTATTATCTTCGGTTTGGGTCAGGCAGCATGGGTATACATGGGTATTTAAGTACATAATCTTGGGGCAAAAGGAAGATTTCTGTGATATTTCGATGCGCACATACACGGAGACACACACGAGCGCAGTGCTCACTAATACTAATATACATATGCTATACAGTTACTGGAATGCATTCATTAGCGATTTAGTTTATCGATTCTGGGGCTTCTTTTGTTTCATTTCGTTTTGGTTTTTATGAAAAAATATGTTCTTATTTGTTCTTACAATCTACAATTATCCATTGCTCTAAATATGTTTGGTTTTGGTTTGTAAAATATACATACATATACAATATACATATATAGATAGATCCTTATGTTCAGTTGTAGATATACACACTCGCATGTGCTAGAAAAGGTTTTCTCCACTTGGATAGATATACACATATATAAGAGCTGCTTGATCATAGCAATCGTAATTTACAGTTGAGTGGGTTAACTTTAGAACTAAAATTATAGTTCAGCTACAGAAAAAACCAAGGAGATCGATCGAACTGGCAATGATATGGTAAAGAGTATATATAGATCCGTAGTGTTAGTTAACTTGTGGCGAAATCAAAGTGTTCACTTAAGATTCGTGTCTGAGAGAGGAACATAATTACAAATGAGCCTGAAGAGCTAAATGGTGAGAGGATCTCCTCTATCGGTGCGAGTGCAGGTTGCCCTCCACCCACTTGTAGAGCGATGTCTGCGACCGGGCCACCCACTCCACGTTGGAGGCCACGCTGCTCAAGGTCATGTTCAGCACCGACATCCCTTGACCTCGACCGAAGCGATGAACCAGCGATTTGAGCTGCAAAAGGACAAGTTAATCAAAATAATGGTATTTTTATTTTGTTTATCAATACACACCTCATCGTAGTCGAACTTGGTGGCCCCATATTGGGTGATGGCCGATATGACCTTGGCGAAACTGATCGTTCCAGGTCCGAGTCGCTTCTCCAGCTCGAACCACTTGGCCTGAAGGAAGCGACAGGCCATGGCTCCACCTGTCGGCGTGCCGGCAATGGCCTTGAGCACCTGCACCACCTCCTCGGTGGGCAGCATTGTCACGTGCGAAAGCAGGCGATTCTGCAGCCAAGCGTCCTTGGTCCTTCCCAAGGCTCGGAGCAACTGCATCCGCTCCACAAATGTCTCCGAGGTGCGCTGCAGGTTGACGAATCGTTCCCAGCAGTGCTGCCAGTAGATGTACTCCCCGGACAGAATAGAGCCGGTATAAACCACCTGATGGAGGGTTTAAGTGTTATTATGGGTGTGTTATCAAGTAAGGAGAAATCTCGGCATTACTAACCTCTCTAAGATTTGGCTGAATGGCGGAACCATTGTAGTATAGATACTGATTTAGCATGTTCTTCGCCTTGGTTATGCTATCAATATCCTCCCAAAGAACTGAGGCCAAAAGCACCTCGGGTCGCAGTAATCTTAAAAAAAAATAATCGTTTAAAGTAATAACTTTTGGGTTTATCTACAAAACTATCTCACCTCGTGGCCACATCACCGTCATCCGACCAGCCCACCTTTTCCATTACCGTGGAGATCTTCATCTTTATAAACTCGCTCAGCATAAGGAAGCACTCTGAGTACTTAAGAATGCGTCTCCACTTTTCTAGATGTCTTAGTGCCAGAGCCATAGGTCCATAGTGCGTCTCACTGGGAAGATATTGAATCATGTTCATGGTGATCTCGCAGGGCAGCAGATTTGCATGACAAAGCGTAAAGGCATCCGACAATAGACCCAAGCGATCCTGTAAGATAATTCATTTTATAATTATTTGTTTAAATAGACAGATCAATTATTCTGTATTTACCTCACTGGTGAAGCGTTTGGGATTTGTGGCCAACTCTTCAATAAGACTTGCCCAATTATCGTCATTGTAGACCACGCGATAATAACCGTTTTGTATGGCATTCACTTTTATCCATTTGACGTTCTCCGGCACATTGAAGGTTACTGCAAAATAAATGTTTATAATAATGTAATACTAGTAGTAATTACTAAGAACTCACCATCCACATTCTGCATCCAGAGGGTTTCGCTCACGTTGTTTATATCTGTAACATAGGTGACTGGGAAGATCCACTTCATGTGTGGCACTGCCTTGTGTTTGCTACCCTGCGTTGTGGGTGCCACTGTACTCGGCATATCCGTGGCATTCAGTGCCGTCTTATTGTAGTTATTCCCATCGTACGAGTCGTCATGAATGGCTAGAAATTCGGCTGGTCGGAAGGGTCTTTGCGAGATGGAGATGCTATTGCCCATTTTGGTAACCGTAAGAAGGGGGAAACCCGGCTGATGCGTCCACAGAGTCATCATATCCTTGATATTCTTCGAACCATTCGCTTTCTTCGTGCAAATGGTCCAGAGATCTGTTGGCTCGGCGGTCCTGAATCGATTTACCTTGAGGAACGAACCGAGGCAGCCCCTAAATCGATCCTCACCGATGGCCGTGTGCAACATGGAGAATATGGCCGCCGTCTTCTGGACAAAGAACTCCTCGTTGTTGCCATCGTGACTGGTGCCATTCATAATGCTGTCCCATCCCTGGATGGCATCAATGTCCAATGCCGCCGTGGCCATCTTCAAGAGGTACATCTCCCTCAGGGGCCAGCTCTCCTGCAGTGGAGCCAAGGCATGGATGCCCAAGTACTGGATCAGTCCTTCCCATAGCCACACATCTTTGAGCACCTTGCGCGAAGTGATTCCACCAAAAAACTGCCTCACCATCGCCTCGGCAACACGCAAGGCGCTAAACTGATATTGCTCCGAGGTTATCGAACTCGGGTCCGTCAGAAACGAGGTTTTTAGCGTGACCAAGCCCAGCGAGGAAATCATATTACGATCCAGCGAAGGCAACGCCACAAAGTCCACTTTCGTGAGCGGATAACTGATGTCCAACCAGGTTTGCAGATACTCCAGAACGTCCCGCGATGTGTGCAGAATAAAGGAGGAGCGAATCAGCAGATCCCTGGGCGCATAGAAGGTGTACGAGGGAGCTCGCTTTATCGACGACCCGGTGGACTGGGAAAGTGACGTTAAATTCGATGGCTTTCCGTTACCATTGAGATTCACTGGCCAAGCTGTCGTGGTCGTGGGCTGAACAACTGTGAGGTTTTGGCGCGGCGTCAGGTTGACATTCAACGAATGAGTCAGGGCAGTGATGTTTCGTACCGGCGGGTTTTTCCCCTTCAGCTGGGTGTAGTTAATCAGCTGGGCGGACTTTTTGCCACCCACTCCGGCTCCTGGTGGCGCTGGTGTCGTCGGCATATATGCCGCCGAGGGCTGCAGGGACTCGCGCTGGAAGTCGCTTACCACCCAGGCCACCGCATCGGCAGGCAGTGGCGGCGTCTCTATAAAGTCATCGCGGAGCTGTGGAAAAATTGAATTTTAAATCTTTTATCTATGTGCATATATTCTGCTTTGTACTCACCAATCCCGTGCCCATGTAGAAGCCCACGTCCTCGGTGGTGTGCACAATGGAGTTGGATAGGCCAATGTGGAAGCGATCCCGGAACACGGAGATGCGGAATGGCGCCCGAACGTGCGGCTCATCGAAGCAGGGAAACGCTCGTCTTGCACCATTCGGCCGGAAAACTGTGGCAGCTAGTAATCTAAAATCGGAGAAATATAAAAGTAAATTAATAAATATTTAAAAAAAATTATGTAAAATATTCTACATTCCAAATTTACAATTCGATACAAGTTTAAATAGCTTATGATAAAAAGTTAAGGATCGCTCCCAAAAAGTTTTTAATTAGGTATATCGTTTCGTTTCATGCAATGGAAATAATTATAATTCAAATAAAAAAGCCAAATCAACCACTTGAACATAAAGTAAACTACAAGTTCTGGCCATTACTTTAAGTAAAGGAGCGCATTAAAAGGAGCTTTACCTTTCCACGCCGTTGGAGCTCTCGTACTGGTCCACATAGAAACCCTCGGGCTCCGGATTGAGCTTGGAGTACCAGCGCAGGTTGAGGGTATAATTGGACTTCTTCTTCAGCTTCTCCTTCACCTCGATGTAGAGCTGCTGCCGAGGTGGAAACTCCAGCACCTTGACAATCTTGAGGGCGTATCCCTTGGGCCCCGGGGTTACGATGGCCTGCAACCGAAACGGGAATGCAATCAATGGACGCACTCGAGCCAAACGCTAATTGGCTTAATTTGAATGCCGCCGGACCGGCACTGACTTACCTTCTCGGTGACGTTGAGGTCCTGGATGTGCAGCACAATGAAATTGGTCTCTTTCTCCACGTGCAAATCGATGGTGACTTGACCTGTCCAGGAGGAAATATGAATCAGAAAATCGAATGAATTGAAAGTCAGACAATCGAATTGAAGTTCTATCGAGAATTGCGATGAGGGTGGAAATCTGCCCACTTAAAAATATTAAACCAAACTGAACAACAAAGAAATCGAATATTTCAAATGAAAAAGGTTTCTTTAAAAAGTAATATAATTTAATTAGGCATTGGAACTATTATAAATCTATATTTTGAATAAATAAATAGCAATATTTTTAGGACTTACCCTTAACATCCAGTGTCGTCAGGTTGGGATGGATGGTGACCATGTAGCGCAGGGGGCGCACACTGGTGGGCAGCATCTTCTCCAGCCAGGGAAAGGGCTCCCCGTTGGTGGCAATCGGGTTGAAGGGCAGCGTGTTGTTCTCTTCATCCGTTTCGTAACCGGAAACCGTTTTCGATCCGCAGGAGCAGTCTGCAAGGATAGTCAAGGTGCGTAATCAGTATCGGTTCCGTTTCAGGACTCGTTACTCTTCTTTTTCGCGGACGACTCTTTAGGGGATTCGTAGCTAAGTTCGTTAAAGCAAATTGCATTATACACAATCAACAGAGAGAGAGAGAGAGTTAAGGGGGAGTTCATCTAAGTCGGGGTAGGGGGTTAGCATAAAGAAAAGCTAGCAGTAAATCTGTTTAATAATTGGATTCGGTTCAAGTCATTAGCACATCTAGTGGGGTGAACGGAACTCAAACGGGGGAGGTCACAAATGAGGATTTATTCTAGCTGAATGTCGCGAATATTCGAATGGAGTCATATCAATAGCAGTGGAAATGGTTATAGATCTAACGATTATAATCCGTAAGCAATCTCGAATCCAACGTAAAAATCTACAACGTTAACAAAAGTAAAGTACTAAAATTAAAACAATTAATTCGATTAATAATTGATAATAAATAAATTATTAAAAAGTTGTTTTGAATATTTAAAATTGTCGTTTCTTATGTTATTTCACTGTATGTATTGTACTTAAACTGTAGATGTCCTTCTATATAGTGGTATCAGTGCAATTTCTCGACACAATTTCTAATTAATAGTGTGTATTAAAGTCATCTATGTATGACGAATATCTGGCCTAGCAATGACTCATCTTATGATCAGTGATATTTAGTATTTACAATGAGCACTGAAATTAAAACAACTCGATCTTTCCCACTAGCGAAATATAACCGAAAAAGGATCTAACATCTAGAGATAGAAAATACGGAAATAATAAGAGAGGAAAGGATAAGTAGGAAACAATATATGATCAATGACATCAACATGCCGAAGGATTACATAGATTGTCATGGCTATTTACCAGTTTAGAAGTATTCGGGTTTGGCATAATTGTTACTCACATTTCAACCAATCAATCAAACAAGCATTTAAGAGAAATATTTCATATTTTTCAAAGATTCATATATAATAAACATTTGGTATACAAAGTCGAAGGCAAAAGGAAACGATAATGGGAAACAAACAAACAATGGTCAAGAGAAACTAAACAGATATTATTATGGGTATATATACTGGTATACGAGGGTCGTGGAAAATGTGTAAAGCTGGTCGAACTCACTAATTGGATCGGCGGAAGCAGAAGTTAAAGCTATGCGGCGGCAAATGCTGATTGATAATCGAGCTTGCAGCAGGGAAAATTAACTTTCCACCCGACATGTGTCTGTGTACACTTTCCTCCCCTATCCACAAACACTCTTTCCTGCGGCTTGTTTTCCCATTCCCTTGGGTTAATGCAATTATCCCCCAATGCATTTAGCCCCATTAAGTATGCAACAGAAACTTCCAGCGAGCATGTGAGTGTTTGCACTTTGCATAATTCCGCAATTGAATATGGCCAGGGACACAGGCACAGAGTACCAGGTCGAGGCCTACGGATCCATTGGGGACAGCAGGGAGGAGGGGGTATCAGGTGATGCAGTTGCATCTATTTATACGCGGAATGAAACTTAATATGGTTAAAAGCATATTACTCGAGGCTAAATGGATTGCTTGGCCAGATGGTTTATGACCTGCTTTGAGCGCCGCCGGTCAAGGAATTCAATTACCCTTCGTATGGATTTATTGGGCCCCAACTTTGAACCTTGAGGCGGCTTTAGTCATTGATACTTGGCTGGCGTGGAGAATGGGCTACATTATTCATGATTTCCCTTCACACATGTTGATTTATGACTTTAGCATTTGCAATATTATACACCTTTATTTGGCACGATTCTGCTTAAAGTTTCCGCCTTTAATCAATGGGGTTTCCTTAAACTTAAGGCATTATTATTTTCCTAATTGTAAATATCGATATACTTGATAATATTTTGCATGGAACTTCATTAAATTTATTATTTAAAGGAAGTCTAAAACCCTTTCTCAATCCTAGAAACCTCCATTCAGGAAACTAAATTATATTCTTCTATTGTTCCATTCACGTCAAGCTGAAACCCTCATTTACAATTTCCCATTTTTAAAGCTGTCAAATTTCGGAGACCCTTTCGATGCCACAAAGGCGGCTTGGCTTTCTCCTCCGCCCAATTGACTACATATCCTGTCGCCCCCAATAAAGGCGTAATCAAGTAACAACAACAAAGAGGGTGACCCCAACCGCTCCTTTCTGTTCTGTTCTGTTTTTGTGGATGGAACGGAAAAAAGGAACGAGGTGAATATGCTCGAAAAAAAAAGCTGGTAGAAAGAAAGGAAAAGAAACGAAACGGAGTGAGGATGGCGGTGCTCTGCGAGCACGGGTAATGTGGCACGGGTCTTGGGGCACGGGGCAAACCTACCGTTCTGTGGTCCGGCGTAGGCGATGATGATGGCCGTCAGCAGCAGCGAGCCGAGAACGATTCCGGCCACAAGAAGAGCTCGGCGCTGTGAGCAGACGGCCACTCCGGTGCGCGTCTGCCGTCCGCCGCTCGATTCGCCACCTGTCAAAAAGAAACGGAGAAACGGCCAAAATGTAATTAAACTCCGCATAAAAGTCATAGTGGGGGTTGTGCAAATATTTCATCCGGTTGGGTTGCATTGCAATTGCCGCTGGAGTTGAGTGCAATTCCTTAAAAATAACACAAAACTGAGCTCAGCTTTGTGGAAAATAAAAGTACTTGATTTCCGTTCGAAAGAGCAACAGAGTGCAAGGTTCTTAGATCTAATCATTTTAATTAAGAGTGTGATTATATGAGAGTATGATATTTATATAATATTATATTTTATTATATATATCCTTTTATAAGATTCCTGAAACTTACCGGACAGAAAGGCACAGTCATCGAGGTCCGGATCATTTGTCATCTCGATGCGCTCGCGACGCCAAATCTTCGAGCCTCTCTGACCACCGCCGACGACCGAAATCTTAACGGGGCCGGTGTCTCTGTGTCTTCCGGCCAATACGTACGCTTGCTAACCCGTGGCCGTAAACGAAATGGGGCTCGAAATCGGAACCGAAACCGCAGCGAACCCGTTGAATCACAAGAATCTCGAAAATCTGGCGCACCGCAAATAATTGCCGACCTATTTGCTCTAGAAGGGAAATCACAATCACTTTATGGCCAATACAGGTCGAACCCTTTTTCCAGAACCCCCTTTTCTTTGCAGTCACGTGCTCTTCATAGTTTATTCACAGCCAATGCCCGAAATGGATTTCTTGATTACTGTGCTTATGGATTTTTCGTTTGCACCCCTTTGCCAATAAATCGAATGCCAAAAAGTGAAGCACCTTTCAGGAGTTGTTAATAGGGTGCTTAAAAATGTACATAAAAAATTATTTGAACTGAACTCTTACTTTTACATAAATTAAATCTTTATTATCTATATCTTGGTTTTGTTTATTTATTATTAAAATTATTCTAAAAGAATCCTTTCTTGCTTTCGACGCTTATGGATTTTTCATATTCCACCTCGTAGACCACCAAATCGACTGCCAAAAACTGAGACGCCTTTGACGAGTTGATAATCGGGCGAACAGAAATATACATACATAATTTATGCAGATAGCACTTTCGTTTGGCTTTTCCTTAGCCGGCTCTTTTGCCACCCCCTCAGTTGGCCGAAAGCCAGACGCTGACGCTCTTCCGGTTCCGTCTAGTCAGACTACAGCCGTCCGCCCCCCGCCCCCGTCCGTAATTCCATGGTCCATGGATCCCTTCTGAGAGTCTGCACTTTTCGCATTCAAGCTCACTGTTTTCAATGTCGCATTGAATTAGTGAAAAGCGCTTTCAACGCCCAAAAATCAACCCCCCAAAAAATATGCTTTCTTCTCTTTCTCTCTGTTTATCTCCATCTCTCTCTCTTTCTCTGTGTAGCCGGCTTTTGTATGAAATATGTATGTAATACCTAATGTCCGCATCTGTGTCTGCCTTTAAGGACCCCTCTTGAATCTGAAGTTGGCCGCCTGTAGCATCATTCAGGCATAATTTGTGGCTAAGGTTTGTTAGGCGTAGCAACGTTAATTTTCGACTGAAGCGAGGCGGTTTTGAAGGCCCTGCCAATTGGTAAAGTGCAGATAAAGAACGCACCTACCTTAAAGGTGGCTATGATTCAGGGCTCATTGTTTAAGGGGCGGGCCAAAAGAAATTGGCGACTGTTCCCAAATAAGAAATCTCAAAAATTAAAAAATTTTACCTTGTTAAAAATGTTGTTTTCTTTCTATTTTCAAAAATTAGATTGGTAGTAAATATTTACATAATAAACTTGCCTTTCTCAAAAGTTGTACTGAGACTATTTGATTACTAACTACTGTAAGTATATAATAATCTTATTTATATTCAGTTATTTAAATCAAATCGTTTGTAATTTTGGACATCTTAAATTTCCTTTTACTTAAATCTCGAATTATAGCCTTCTATCTATAGATTTTATATTCGAGGTACATAAAATCACGTATACGTAGATATTTAAGCAATTAAATACAGAAAAAATGTATGATATTCTCTGTAGAATTAAGGTAATAAAATCTGTCATAAAAAATGTATATTTGTTCAGACATTGTACACATACTAAGGGAAACCAGTTGTACATGTTTTTCGCATGCCGGAATCCTTGAATGTGACAGGGAAAACTATGGCCATAAAAAGTACTATTTACGGGTGTCAACAACATTTGCTAACTATTCAATTCCAATTCCCTTTGGCCAGATGTTGTTGTTGTGGCCCAAATTGGTCTTTAATGAGGTTTCGCATTCTATTTGCTTTTGGCTTCTCTTTTTGTTTAATGTCAATGTCAGAACGAGGCGTAATCCTAATTTCCAAGTGGAACGAACGCGATTGTTGTGCCCCCCTTTGTTTGTCTTCGTGACTGCACCTCCCCTCTTCCTTTCTCTGCCTCCATTCCCATACATTCCATATACCACGCAAGAAACGTGTTAATGCATATATCACAATGCCATTTCATTTTTGTTTAACGCGGCCGCCATTTGGCATTTGTTTACATTCTCATTCTGCTAAGCGAAAATGGAGGAAAAAAACATTAAGGAGTCGTGGAAAGGAGAGATGGAGAGTGAATTGGGAGTGAGATAGGAGAGAGCTTGGAATGGAGAGTGCCGAGTGTGGGAGAAAGATGGGCGCGCTCTCACTGGAATCTGTGTTTTGAAATGAAATGTCAAAATGCAAAGCTCAACAGCGCGAATTTCCTTTCCTTGTGCGCGTGTATAAGTGAATTTCCTGTTTTGTCTTATGCGGCGTTTTCTTCTTCGTCTCTTTCGCTCCAATCTGCGCGTATATATGTCAATAGTGCGCTTTCCAGTAGCCCCCGCTCTCCTTTCTCCACCCCCCTTTCAGCGCTCTCCTTCTTTTTCGCACTTTTTTGCCTTCAGCTGCTCCCTTTTTTCCCCTTTATCCCTTTTTTCGCTTTTGTTGCCACTTGACTGAATTGCGGTTCCCAGCTGCAGTTGCATTTTACTTGGCGACAGAGCATAACGGTTCATTATTCCATTTCACTTTGCTAATTTTCGAAAAGGAAAAGAGTTCAAGAGCTTGTTGCTATTTTTTTTTGGGGGGTTCTGGTAAAAAAGGTCAATTTAAACAGATCAATAAAAAGAAATGCACACACTAATTACTTGGGGCCTTGGCTCGAAATAAAACACTTTAATTGGCTGGCTTCCTGTTGGTAAAGCCACGAATTGATTTGATTCACTACACTTTTTTTCCTTTATATATATATATTTTTTTTTGGCAATATTGCCTTTTCACAGACACGCACAGCGGGAGGGGGAGGTGGGGGATTGAGGGGGCAGCACGCGACGCATTCGCTTGAGTGTATGTGTGTGAGTGTGTATGTCCTTTTTTGTCAACACCGAATCGTTAGAGTCCTTTCTTTCTCGGAACGCCGCCTTTGTCACGCGCTTTTCGTTGCGTTTGAGTGCGCGTACATTTTCCAACTGGATGCTGCCGCAGCGAAACGGCATGCAGCAACCCTGCGAGATGAGAGGTGGCAACCCCAAGAAAGTTCGGCGCATGTCCACCCGCTCTCTCCCTTTCTGCGGCGCTCATTTCCACTCTCTCTGTGAGCGAGCTTCCCGTTCGCTCACCTGCAAAAGTGAAAATGAAATTTCTTTGGAGAGCCCTTGTATTTGATGTCCCCCGCTCTCTCTCCTTCTCCATCTCCTCCCGCTGATTGGATTTTTGTTTTGATACAACCAAAAACAAATACAAGCCGAAAAGCTATGGTCCTGCCGAATACCCGTTAAAATAAGAGTTTTCTTTTAAGTTTAAACCAACTCAAATATTGTTAATGTTAGTAAATTATTAACAACATCTGATAACTAATTATTAATAATATCTAAATTTAATTAACTTAGTATCTCTTAAAGTATTACATTTAACAAGGTTTAATAAATTTTGTTACTAAAGGTTTTTAAAAAAACAAGAATTAGGTACAAATATTGAGTCGACCCTATCAAACTATTTCCACGAATTCAACATACCCTTGAACTCCATAAGTACCGGGTATAAAAAGAAAAGCGTGTATTGAAGTGTTGCCAGGCGAACGAATAGCGCAGCAACCCTTAAAAGACCCCATAACCCCCCGAAACCCTCTCTTTTCACCCACATGCAACCATTTGTTGTTGTTCTTGTTCATGTTGTGTTGTTTATCATGTGTTGGCCAAATAGTTCAATCTGGCAGGGGCTCATCATTAGATGTTCCCCGTTTCAGGGATGAGTTCCGTGGGCTTTAACATTTGATTTACTCTGGTTTTCGTGCAGAACAAATTCGTAAAAACGGAATTATAATTATTTCGTTGACACGTGAGAGTGTTTTCTGATATTAAAACGGAATGGGAGGCCCATCATTAAAGTTTGCCGCTAAGGGATGCGATTTTTATGATTAAAATATCCTGGTTTCCCAACTGTTCCATTTGGGATTTACGATGTCCTGATGCTGCGTTGTGTTGCCTACTTTTAGGTCGACATGGCAACTGGGCGAAACAATCAACAAATGGAGCACAAAGCTCAACCGTAAATGGTAATTCGCTTTGCGAAGTTTGCCGGCAAATGAAATCTCATTTTTTCCCTTTTCGCCTCCTTTGTTTCGGCAATGCGACGAAAGTTTTTTGGGGATACATATACATATACATAAGCAGAAGAAGAAACACACCACCGGTTCGCGGTGACTTGCCGGAAAAAAATGGGGATGCTCCTCTGGCCCTCATCCTCCCCTTTTCCTTGCCGTTTTCCCAATTTCCCAAGCCACTGGCTTCAAACGGCGGCAACCGGCTCAACTCAATAAATTCGCCGTCACGTTAGTGTAAAGTTTTCCCTTCGCGGCTTGTCGACTGAATCGAGCTGAATCGTGTTCATTAGGCGGTGCCACGCCTCGTCGAAAGACCCCTTTTCTCCCCTTTTCGGTTGTCGCATAGCTGGCTTAAAGCGTTGAAAACGCAGCGATAAACTTTAAATTCGATTAAACAGAAACTGGTTACGCTTCACGAAAG